AAGCCTACTATAAAAACTTTAAACGATCAGTATGTCCGTATAAACTTATAGTAAGGACCTATATAATATTAATCTCCTTAAAGAATTTATTTTTTTAATGTTTTCTTTGATTTAAATGATTCTGTTTTTATATTTTATGTTAGTGAGCATATGTTTACGAAAAAAAATGCAACTACAATCGCTTCTTGATTTCCTGTATATCCATTTATATAATTTTATATATATAATAAACAAATTAAACACTAAATAAATAAAATTATTTAATTTAATCGAATTATTATCGTTTGTGATGATTTTTTGATAAAGAACTAAGACTCACGCTGTCATAATTTTTATTGTAATGCAATTTCAAATCCATAATCATTAAGGAAGCGTAATAAAACGAATGATAGAAAAAATTTATGATAATTTTATCAAATATACAATTTATTTAATAAAATTATGCGTATGAGAAACAATACAAAATCCCCGAGGATATTTGTACGTCGGCCTCCAGACCAGATGTATATGTATTCGCGTATTTTAAAGCGCGTTGTGATGATAGAGCTTACGGTGCCTTGGGAAACCAACATCCCCAAAGACCATGCCATCAAGGTCAACAAATATTACGAGCTCACTAACGAACTCACTCGAAATAGGTTCGTCGTGGATTTGTACGCGGTAGAGGTGGGAGCGAGAGGTATAACAGATAAATCTTTTTACAACCTACTAAAAGACTTGGGCCTGTCCAGAACTCAAACTATTACTATTTAGATCCTTGGAAATAAATAGCAATTATTGGATTATTATGACGTACGCTTACCACATGTTTGTATACTACTACATACTAATAGTTTCCCGTTTCTCATTAATACGTTAATACTATGTGAGAAGTTACGAATGAAATACTTTTAACGTGGAGTATGTAGTGACGATGAAAACTTGGATTAAGCATAATGATAAGTTAATATGTGAGGAAAATAGTTAAAAAATAGTATATATACATCCCTACTAATATTATAAATGCGAAAGTAACTCTGTCTGTCTGTTACGCTTTCACGCCTAAACCACTGAACTGATTTTAATGAATTAGTACAGAGATAGAATTGACCTTGACAAAGAACATAGGATAGCTTTTATCCCAGACTTTTGAAAGGTTCTCTTGGTAACGCGATATAACCGAACTCCAAACGGGCGAAGCTGCGGGCGGAAGCTAGTATATGTATATGTTTCTAGGAAAATATACATTTCAGTTGATTCATAAGGCCAGTTATTGTTATTGTTTTTTTCACAATCAACGCTATATTTTTTTTTCTAGATTTTAACATAATTGTTTTCAAAGGAAAACAAGATTTCCATTCAATTAATTCTATTTACTCATAAATTTATGATATTTTTTATTTATTTTACTATAAAAATTAAATTTATATACATAAAACGATTGAAACATATATATACAGGGTGACTGGTGAATTACTATCGATATTTGAGGACGTGATATATGACGATCATATATGACAAAATAAAAATTAATATACCTAACATAAATATTAATAAACTTCTAAGTAAAGTTAACCAAAAGTTATGTAATTAATTACGCATCGCGTGAACACCCTACAGATTAGGTATACACACACACATACGCGTGCGGCGGCGTGGTGTTGTATCAGCACGCCGCCGCACGCGTCCACACTTGGAACACTTGGAACGTGTGCACACTTATTTATTTATACGGAAATTTGGTCAAAAATTAAGTGCTTTTTTTACATAATTCGAATGAGAATCATGTACCGAGTATTCTCCTTAAATATTGATAGTAATTCACCAGTCACCCTGTATATATAATATTTTATATATGTTTAATACAAACCCCTGTATTTTAGAACTTAATGAACGCGTATATATTTTCACTTGACTACAACGTTGAATGCTCTTCAACATGTTGGCGTCGCTGCACTGACTGATGCTAATAATTGATCCTCTTATATATACAACCAGAAAGTAAGATTATTAATTGATATTAATGTATAAATAATGTTTATTTATATAGCTATTACATTATTTTATTATTATAGTTGTATACCGCGATTTTGCTTTAAAGTATATATTACAATTTTCTTATTTTAGGACCCTGGCTTAAGCTTGGAAATTGCCAGGAAGAAGATTCTTTATATAATAGCTTATATACCTTCATATATATAAAATATGCAATTTTTCGATAAAATTTTCATGAAAATCATTTATTTTTTATATTATCGAAATCTTTTTATCAATTGAGTGATTGCAATCAATTTCTACTTATTTTGAAGTTGGTTAAAATAAGAATATTATAAATTTCACATGAGCATTTTTAGTTTTGAAATCAATTTGTTTATTTTGGTTTTCATGTAAACGTTTATATTTACAGTTTTGACGTGTTTTTACTTAAAAGGTACCGTATTTATTTTATGATACGAGAAAAGATTTTTTATTAAGTTTAATTAAAAAACTAATACTTATTAGCTTAGCTTAAAGATTTTTTTTTATAATAACAAATGTATGTTTGTATGTATATAAGTATGCAGAAACCTAACCATATATTCTTTATTTAGACATGAAGAAAATATTAAAAATATAAGTAATTTTTATTCTAAATTTTGGTTTAATACAAAATTCTTAACTTTTCTAAATTAAATAGTATTTTTATTAATATAATGTTATTTGAAAAACTATACTTATAACTTACAAGTGTCATACATTTTTTGTGTTTTAAGTATTTCTTCCTCCGTATTCAACTTACCTTTTAAGAAAATGACCCTCATTTAAAATGACCTACATACATATATATAAATATACTAGCTATACACGCGGATATGTTCGAGAAAATAATTTTATCATCATCAGCCTATCAGAGCCCACTGCTGAGCCTCTTCCTCTCATGGAGAAGGTTAGAGCATTAATCACCATTGCTCAAGTGGGTTGGTGATTTCAAACTTATAATTTGATATAAGTCCATGTTTCCTCACGATGTTTTCCTTCATCAGTCAGTGATGTCTAAATACTCTTATAAAGTACATATGACTCGGAACATCACATTGGCACTTGCCAGGTTTCGTACCAACCACTCTAGTCCACCACAACTTTATTTATTTATTTAAAAAAATATATATATCAAAAATAAATTCGTGTAAGCTAATCTTTAATTACCTATCTTCAAGTGAAATTCTCACCAAAATCAGTTTAGTTCTTTCTGATGTGAAACCGAAGTAATGTATGTTAGACAGACAAACCAAAAAAAAAATTATATGTTTATATTTATATTTAAACTTACTTTATTCTTACCACAAGTTTGTAATCACTACATACGCAGCGTCAACAGTATTTAATTCATCTACTCACATAGTTTTAAAGTATTATTGAAAAACGTGAAACCTAACGTATTGTCGAATAACTTGTAAAAATTTACACTTTTCACATATTTATAAACAAAATAGTATAAAAATAGTCTTAGTCTTAGATGAATTGAACTTTTTTAAATCATCATTCGTACATTACACCCAAAAATTCTCACTAAAACAGTGAGCTTCAAAACATGAGCAGAACATCAAATAATTTTATTGGCATAACCTCCCTTTGATGAACGTGGTTAAATTTATAGCCCATTAAACTCGAAAGATTCCTTTCACCTTAATGCATTACGGTATACGAAAATTATATGTAAAATTTGTTACTTATATAGAAATAATTATAATAACACATAGTATATAATGTATCTGTATGTATGTATCTGTAAGGCAGACCCTGGCTAAAGCTGGGAAATTGCCAGGTAGAAAGATAGTATATAATGTATTGTTCAGTCCGTGTAGTTCCCGGGAACACTTCATAACAGATGTATTGTGTGAAGTAACGACACACGATAGATGGCGCTGACTGTTGGTTCATATATATTATATTGAAAAATATGTAGGTATATGTATATGTTACTCTTTGCATATATATACAAGGTACATACAGACATAAAAAGAAGAATATATATATTTAATATTTATATTACTATACTGTAATAGTTTTTACGTTGAACCTTAAAATCTATTCTAATGATTCTATGTCTGATTGGAAAGGTCATTAGAGAAGAAACAAAAAATTATAAAAAACATTAGGAAACCCAGACAAAAATACAAAACACGTGACATTAAATTTATTTAACTTTTATATACACAGATTTTTTAATAATATTTACAAATATATGTAGAATAAAATATGCTTTGACTCGTCTACTTGAGAAAGGATAAAAGCTTTGGTATCTGAATTATCACATATAAGTTTTCTTGAAATAATATATTATGTAGATTTAATTTTATATAAATAGTTTTCAGTATACGAATAACTGAATTCATATTAACAACCAGAACTTATACGTAAAGAATTTTCCTAATGTGGCATTGTAGATAAACTTCTTAAATTTTTTTTAAAAGTAAGTAAATATGTCAAAATAATAAAGATTAAGTTATTAAGTTCATATGGATATATTAAGAATAATATTATGTTAATTTATTACAGCGACAGTTACTTTGTAGCGTTTTGTGAACGTAATTGTGCAGATTAGAAAAAATATATATGTAGTTTTGATATTAGTTTCTATTTTTGTAAATTATATTAAGCGCCATCTCTTATTTGATTAGAAATCTAATTAAATTTGTTACATACCTAGTATGGATGTTATTGAAAGCGCCATCTCTTGGATAATTCTATAATTACTTTGTTAGAAACTAATATTTCAATCATTATGTTTATAGATTCGTCTAATAATAATTAATACATGTTATGTTCATATACTTCACATTCAGCGCCATCTAGTAGTGCATTCTTCAATTAATCTTTTATGATATTCATTAATATTGAATAAGTAAAAACAAAAGTCATTACAAAAGAAGAGTGTTTTGAATACAATTGAAATACTGCTTGTATTATTACTATTTAAGAAAAAAGAAATTTTTTACCATTATAAATTACACCATTGTAAATTGTTCCAATTCTTATACTTTATTAATCTTATTCATTAATTCGCCTCCACCAGCAAGTGGTTCCGTGGTGTAGTGGTTATCACATCTGCTGTACACGCAGAAGGCCGCCAGTTCGATCCTGGCCGGAATCATATTTTTTGCGTTTTTTTCTTATTTACACTCATTGTAAAACATAAATATCAAGTTTTTTCTGTATTATTTTGATTTTTAGGTAATTATAACGTTATCATACTCTTGTATATATAATTATCTTTTGTTAAAATATTTCGTCCTGATTATAAAGTACCGCTAGTAAGAATAAAAATCTATAGCAATTTTAAAGAATAAGGTGAACTTATTTTTTTCTATGACACATATAAATATTAAATAACTTTCATACTTAAAATTTTATTGATTATGAGAATATACTATCAAAACGAAACCAAAAAACGTATATCTCGTGTTTAAAACTATTTCTTCTAAACTTATTTACAAGTGACAATTAATTTGATTTATTAATTAATATAAAAGAATTAAAGTCGCAATTTCTTTTACAATATAAAGTACGTATTTTCTTTGAAAAAAAAAACTCACACAAAGTAAACTTTCTCAAATATTTGTTTTTTAATATATATTTGTATCTACATATTTCAAAACTCGTTTCTTGCCAGGCATGATGGCAAACCATTTAAGGCCCCACACGCACGAGGCGACAAGAAGAGGACTGTCTGAGCACTTTTTTGTCGCGGTTTAAATTTACAACTGTGACTCAAAATACTAATAGTTTTCCTTTTTATTATTATTATATCTTTCTCCAAAGAACAATCTATCTTCACATTGAAATCCATCAAAATGGAATGAGTATTTCTACTATAAAAGACTAACAAACAATTATTAGTATCACCATTATATAAAATGTGAAAGTTTCTAAAGGTAAAAAACTAGATTTTAGTAATATTTGTAAGCTGATAAACACACTCTATTCCGTCGTAGAGGACGTAAATAACCAGATATTTATTTACTTTTTTGTTTCGATCGAAGAGTGTTAAATATTCTATGTCCGTCTCCTTGTTCTAATCTATCTCTCCACCAATGTTCAACCATATCCGTACAGCCGTTAGAGTTATAAATAGTGTAACTAACACGACTTTTTTATATATAAAAAATCGCTTATTGTGACAAAACTATAATAATTAGAGATATGATGTCGCGACGTTCTTTGTAGATAATGATAAGTTCTACGAAATTTTAGTACATTAAATTATTATTATTTATACATTAAAGAATGTTTTTTGGTATATTTTTTACGTTATCGGAGTTTTGGTAAGGAACCCTATTTAAAACAAAATATAGCCTATGTTACTCCGGAATAGCATAGCTTTCTAACGGTGAAAGAACTTTTCAAATCGGTACAGTAGTTTCGGAGCCTATTCAAGACTAACAAACAAAAAATCAAAACATTCCTCTTTATAATATTAGTTATATATAATATAAAGAAAAATATAAACTCCACCGGTTATATCCAGATTAGCCAATTTGACGCCTTTTATTTACCCCCACCCATTAGCTGATTTTAACACGACATGCGATATACGTAATAAAAAATATACCTTTAAGACATTTGCAAATTCAATAAAAAACAAATACAAAGAATTAAATTTATATATATATATATATATATATATATATATATATATATATATATATATATATATATATATATATATATATATATTTAAAATCTGTAACATATTTATCAGTGAGCTCAAATAAAGGTCAAGATTTATCTTAATTGGCAAATATAGTCTTATAGTGCGGACGTCGCCTTAGTATAAGGAAAAATATTAAATACATGAACACGTCACTCTTGAATAAAATGAATAAGAAGTGGTTGTGTATATGAAATACTAATTTTAAAGTGTTTTGTTATAAGGTAAGTAAAATTATTAAATATATATACAGGGTGACTGGTGAATTACTATCAATATTTAAGGAGAATACTCGGTACATGATTCTCATTCGAATTATGTAAAAAAAATAGGTACTTAATTTTTAACCAAATTTCCGTATAAATAAATAAAGTGTGGACACGTTCCAAGTGTTCCAAGTGTGGACGCGTGCGGCGGCGTGCTGATACAACAACACGCCGCTGCACGCGTGTGTGTGTGTGTATACCTAATCTGTAGGGTGTTCACACGATGCGTAATTAATTACATAACTTTTGGTCAACTTTACTTAGAAGTTTATTAATATTTATGTTATATTAATTTTTATTCTGTCATATATGATCGTCAAATATCACGTCCTCAAGTATCGATAGTAATTCACCAGTCACCCTGTATATAAGAAAGTTTATTAATTTTCAATAATAATGTATTAAGTATAGACGTTTTTGTTAAGTTTATGTTCTTTATTATGGGAATGTTTTTACATAAAGAAGGAGCTTTGTAAAAAATGGTTCTTTGATTTTTTATCTTTGGTGTGTATATATATTTATAACATATAGTTTGCAAATATATATGTACATATCTATATATATAGTATTTTTTTTATGTTACATATGACTTCAATATTATTTAACCAATAAATTCACGTTTTCTATAATATAAATGATAATAATTTAGTTTTCAACAAAGTTTTAAAGACTTACGTGTGACAGTGAGAAAAATAAACGAGTTTTTTTAAACTTTAAACCAAAATTACGTAGTTTTTTTTGTAATTAAATAAATAATAATATATTTTTAATGATATAAGCTTACCATTGGTTTCTATCGTCATACTTACAAAATATTTCGCGTATTTTAAAAATTTGGTTAGGTAGAGAGAGGAGCTTGTACGGTGGAGGTGATCGTTTAACGTTAGATAGGGTCCCTTAAACCTACACCTGGGTCACAAGTCACAGTCACTGTTGAAGCTCCTCTCACTACAACGATGGACCCGACACACGCACCGTGAATACATGGAATGATGAGAGGAGCTTGTACGGTGGAGGTGATCGTTTAACGTTAGATAGGGTCCCTTAAACCTACACCTGGGTCACAAGTCCCAGTCACTGTTGAAGCTCCTCTCACTACAACGATGGACCCGACACACGCACCATGAATATATTGAATGATGAGAGGTTTCATCTCAATATTTTAAAATACTGACTAGTCTAATGATAGAATAACGTAAGACGCGTAGTATGTAGTAAGTATGCTTGTAGTAAGCATTGGGTATGTTGTGAATTTCGTAGTCAAAAAATATAAAAAATTTTGGTACAAAAATTAGATTTTAATAGTAAGACCTTTAAGTTAAGAGTTTATTTCATTATCGACGTTTAACGTGAGAACTGTAAGTTTAACGTTTATTAAGATAACACGTACTTAGTATTCACAGTTTTCATTCATTAACAAGGTTTCGAGTTCCTTATGGACCAAAATATCTATATAAATATATATATATATATATATATATATATATACAGGGTGACTGGTGAATTACTATCAATATTTGAGGACGTGATATTTGACGATCATATTATATGACAAAATAAAAATTAATATAACATAAATATTAATAAACTTCTAAGTAAAGTTAACCAAAAGTTATGTAATTAAGTACGCATCGTATGAACACCCTACAGATTAGGTATACACACACACACACACACACGCGTGCGGCGGCGGCGTAGTGTTGTATCAGCACGCCGCCGCACGCGTCCACACTTGAACATTTGGAACGTGTCAACACTTTATTTATTTATACGGAAATTTTGTCAAAAATTAAGTGCCTATTTTTTTTACTTAATTCGAATGAGAATCATGTACCGAGTATGCTCCTTAAATATTGATAGTAATTCACCAGTCACCCTGTATATATATATATATATATATATATATATATCTCATTTATTTCAAATAAATGATAAATAAATCCAAAATAAATGATAAATAGGTATATTTATCATTTATTTCAAATGTATTAAATTAATGATTAATGATTATCCGACAAGTATTATTATGAGGTGCTTCTGTAAAACAAACTCGTTTTTGTTGTATTTCTTTTTCGTTCTATTGTATGTATGTTTGTTTATCATTACCACAAAGTACAGACAGGTTTTATAAGCATTACTTCTATATATATATATGCTTCTTCACAGTGGTTTAAACTATACAATAACCCTTAGTATGGGTTTCAGTTTGAAACTAAATACTATCAGTTTTCATTCATTACGTTTATACTATAAGTAAGGAGTAGTAGTGATGAGAATGCGGACTAAAGTTTTTTAATAGTATTTTTTATTGTAAAACTGGAATTTAAAATAAACGAGATTTTGTATTAAATATCAAGTAATATGACATACATTTCCGCCATCTTGGCATTTAAGATACAAAATTAATTCAAAGATCTCTCTGAATAAAGAAAAAGTAATAAAAATCAAATTATGTTTACTTTTTTATTTGTCTTAAAGAGTTTTACATTATTATCTTAAACCAAAACATTTTATATAAGTTTTATTCAGTTTACAAACACACAAGTTGTTTCAACAAATATTTTCCCTAGAAAAAGTGAACAAACCAAACGTCATCTCTTTAACGACACTTCGGGTGAGTTCGGGAGTTTAAAGGGACGGTTGAAATTAAATGTATGTTGTATAAATATCTTCTTCCACCTGACAATTTCCCAGCTATAGCCAGGATCTGCCTTAGATGTTGTTAATAGTTTTGGCTAATTGTTTTTACGACCGGCCGCCTGCCTGACATCAACCCTTTTTGGGAACGCATTAATCAGTGATGTCTAAATACTCTTAGAAAGTACATATGACTCGGAAAAATCACATTGGTACTTGCCCGGGCCAGGATCGAACCCGCGCCCTCGTGCAGGATAGGCGGGCCCTTTAACCACTAGGCAACCACTGAGTTAAACTCTTGTCTAAATATATATATTATTTTTTTTTGTTACAGATATATAAAAGAAGATATAATGTTGAAAATTCATCTGTTTATATCTGTTCTATTACTGTCAGGAGAAATAGGATTCTGTCAAAAAGGTAAGTAATTAATATTAAGTCGCCATATTTATAGAAATAAATAACACATAATGCCGACGTGTAATAATTGTATTATTTTATTTTCAATTTTCTTTTAACCTATATATGTATATAAATTTATTTTTTATTTTAACCTTATATTTTTTAATCGACACTTATGGTTTGATTTTTGAGCTCTAAGACTTTCGCGAGTATTCATTTAAATTCCTAAATCCTTTATTTTTGTAAATCAACTACATACTATCGATGTTTCAATTACTTTTATAGTTAATTTAAATCAATTGTAATTGTATAATTTTAACTGTTTTTTAATGAGACGACAAACATAATTAAATCCTTGTTTATTTTAAGTAAGTACATACTTCGTGTGATTTCAAAAAGAAGTAAGTACATCTTTTTGAAATCACACGGAGTTTTAATGTTGTCAATGTGTAGAAAATACACTAAAATATAACTTAAGAAATTTCTTTGGATAGCATCGTGAACACATCTTTAAGATTATCTATCTTTCTTTCTTTTCATCCCTACTAATATTATAAATGCGAAAGTAACTCTGTCTGTCTGTCTGTTACGCTTTCACGCCTAAACCACAGAACTGATTTTATTGAAATTTGGTACAGACATAGAGTTGACCTTGAGAAATAACATAGGATAGTTTTTATCTCAAACTTTTGAAAGGTTCTCTTGGAAACGCGATATAACCGAACTCCACGCGGGCGAAGATGCGGGCGGAAAGATAGTTATATATATTTATTATTGCGTGTTAACTGAAAAAATCAACTCCTTAAATAGAGATATCCCTACTAATATTATAAATGCGAAAGTAACTCTGTCTGTCTGTCTGTCTGTCTGTCTGTCTGTCTGCTACGCTTTCACGCCTAAACCACTGAACTGATTTTAATGAAATTCGGTACAGAGATAGAGTTGACCTTGAGAAAGAACATAGGATAGTTTTTATCCCAGACTTTTGAAAGGTTCTCTTGGAAACGCGATATAACCGAACTCCACGCGGCGAAGCTGCGGGCGGAAAGCTAGTGATTTATAAGACTTCTCATGTGTGTCGGGTCCATCGTTGTAGTGAGAGGAGCTTCAACAGTGACTGGTACTTGTGACCCAGGTGTAGGTTTAAGGGACCCTATCTAATGTTAAACGATCACCTCCACCGTACAAGCTCCTCTCTCTACCTAACCAAATTTGAAAAGAACCTACTAGGGCTGCCATCGAAGTACGTTCCTAGAATGAATTGATATTAGTTCTGGACGGACCCAAGTCTTTTATTAGGTTGTAAAGGTATTTAGCTTCCATGCCTCGAAAGTTTTTTTTTAATATCGTAATAAAAATTAACATGCAATTTCATTTAACATCATTATCCTTATTATAAGTATAAAAAAATGTAGATACGGTCAACATAATGAGATCAAAGATTTTCGCGAGTATTCATTTAAATGAAACTAATATTTTCGGATGTACTACGCGTTTTTATTTTGACTATAAACTACATACTTCCGACGTTTCGGTTACTTTACAGCAACCGTGATCACGGACAGACGGAAAGACTTCTTGTTAGTATATCCCAAAATATTAGTTTCATTTAAATACGGTCAATTCAAAGTATCTAAAAATCTAAGCAAATTAATGTAAATATTGACGAAAAAATCATTTGGTTGAGCACAGAATAAATAATAAGACTTAACGTACATATAGTAAAATGTATTTAAAATATTTTATTTATACAATATAAAGTTAATTACGCTCAGAATTGAATGATTAATAATTGAGGTGTTTAATTATGTATTTTCCTTATATACATATATATACATATATACTTACATGTATATTAGTGATCCATTCAATCATCGTACCAACTCCACCTTCTGTTATGACTTGTCATACATTCTATTTGTTGCGTATTCCAAATATTTGTACGTAGTCCAAATATCACAAACACCTCATCCACACTTGGCATCACAACACGTCACGTCGTATTTGTGTATGTGTCTTATTTGTGCAAATATGTCAAATGAAGACAAATAAATCGTCCACACATGGTCTTATTCCGAACACAACAAATAAACGAGAAGTGTAGTGACACCTTAATTCCTGACAGTTGAACACACTTTGAAAGTAGACAGTATTATATTTACTGTAAGTTTCCCACGAACTGACTACAAAAACATAAATTTTAATAATTTTCATTAAAAAACTAGAATTACAATTACCATCTGTGACGTACTAATTATCTTCTTCTACCTGGCAATTTCCCAGCTATAGCCAGGGTCTGCCTTACATGTTATGAATAGTTTTTGGCTATTTGTTTTTACGACCGGCCGCCTGCCTGACATCAACCCTCTTTTGGGAATCAACATTAATCAGTGATGTCTAAATACTCTTAGAAAGTGACGTACTAATTATAATGTACTATAATTATTATTAGAAATGTTTTAATGACTGATTATAATTTCACTGCCCTTTCCCTAGTCACCCCTATTCCTTAAAAAACGAGGTTGGCAACGCATCCGTAATAAAGATGTAGCGGGTGACTATAAATACTTTCTGCTCGTTTGCCATTTTTGACTTAAAAAACTGACTTCAGCTGTTTTATAAGACACTAGCTGACCCGGCAGACTTCGTACTGCCTCAATCGAGAAATAAATTATGTCTTATTTATATTTTTGGAGTTTACCTGTAAGCCATAAATCTCCGTGTTTTGAAGTGCGACAGAATGATTGACATATTAGTTGTCAAATCTAATGTCAAAAAAAACGTTTCTATGGGAAATAAAAAAGCGCTGTTTTTAGGGTTTTCCCGGAAATTAATAAAATTTTTCAGCTTTTAAACATTCCCTGAACCTCCACGAACATTTCAAGACTATAATAAGATAAATCCGTTCAGTCGTTCTCGAGTTTTAGTGAGACCAAGGAACAGCAATTCATTTTTATATATATATATATATATATATATATATATATAGAAGATATAGATTACTATAACCGCAGATCACACCGGCTAGCACGATAAAATGGTTGTGTTAAAATTCAAAGATGTAATTAAAACAATGTTTTATTATTCTGTTTAATAAATGTTTAGATACCTTGTGTTAGGACCCACCTTAATTAGGATGGGGAAGCTGTAAGAATCGTAATTTATTGTGTAAATCGAATCCATAGATTGTGAATCACAATATATTTTGTAACGTCAAATGTGTCAGTGTGACACTTGACATTTTTATGACAAGTGTCACACTAATATTAAAATATGTTGTATTATTAAACTGAATTGTCGATATAAAAATGTAGATATTAAATCTAATCATATAAATCTGCCATATAAGATCGTCTGTCTCCCTAAAACGGAGGGGTAAGTTAAACCTTTCACCGCGTTAACAAAAAAAAGGACATTACTATTATAAACGAACGTTAAGAATTAAGACAAACTGTACCTTAACTTTATGTACTTTTTCATTAACTTCCAGAAGGCGAAACATGTGTAGTGGAACACACGAATACTTTAGGAGTCTGTACGCTGGCCGCTTCTTGTCAATCAGCGCGAAGAGATTATCAGTAAGATATTTAATTCTTAATATCAGTTTTACTCTTAACTAAATACGAGCAGTGGATACTTTAATTCAGTGTTTTACAATACGTGGGTCGCGACCCCTAAGGGGGTTTTCTGGTAAAAATAAAAAGGTAAAGTTCTATACTACAATAAAAACTAAATTTCAATCAGAAGGATGGGCTTGCTTATTTTTGAAAAGCACGTCAAATCGTGGTGTTATTTTTGAAATATTACCTATCAAATCAGCTTGTAATTAAATAATTTTATTGCTTTCTAATTTAATTATTTCCTTGACCATTTAATGCATTAGGGGTCACCAAAATTTTTCAACCCATAAAAGGGTTATAACAAAGATTAAAAAACCCTGATTTACCACATCCTATGAGAGTTTATGTAATTTAATTTCGATACATAAGAAATATCTTTATTATCTTCTACCTGTCAATTTCCCAGCTTTAGCCAGCGTCTGCCTTACATGTTGTGAATAGTTTTGACTAATTATTGTTTTAATTAAACAGTGATGTCTAAATATTCTTAGAAAGTAGGTACATATGACTCGGAAATATCACATTGAAAAGAAATATCTTTATTATATGTTATAATAATATATTAATTTCATTAATTCGTTCTTTTGTAACATATATTTTTATACTTTTGACAGTTGGCGTGCCCCATTTTGTTTGTATGTTTCTCATATAATGGCGTATCAATTATTATTATTATTATTTTGATGTTTTTTGTTTCAGAAGCAATGGGATCACACCAACTTTTTGCAGTAGGAATCGGCAGTCAGTCACTGTCTGTTGTAGTGACGATAGCTCCATACTTAACACTGCTAATAAGTGAGTTACTACTTAAAGTACATAATACTTTGTTATTCATATTTTATTTTTAATCTAATACTAGTTTTTGCTCGCGATTTCGTCTGAGTTAATTTCGGATCGAACAGAATTTAATATTCTATGTCCTTTCTATGTTCTAATCTATCTCTCCACCAATCTTCATCCCAACCTGTATATGTTCTTGAGTTATAAATAGTGTAACTAACACGACTTTCCTTTATATATGTAGATGAATAAAATCTTTCTTTCTTAATCTAATATTGATATATATTACCAACCCGTCTTGAGCGTGGTGATTAATGCTCAAACCTTCTCCATGTGAGAAGAGGCTCAGCAGTGGGCTCTGATGGACTGATGACGATAATTTCTATTGTGTTTGTAATTAATTAATACACTCAAATTCATTAATTGTATAAACACTATATTTCTGTAGAACTGTAAATATATACAGTCTTAGTACCAAAATTGAGATGAAAAAGCGAGAGTATTTGGGTGTCTCATGTACCAAATTATTGTTTATGTTAATTCATTTGAATCCAAGATAAAATTCTCCAATAGACCATGAAATATTTTTATATCGTTTTTATGTTTTCAGCCGAAAACAACAGCTGTCGAACCAGCAGACAGTATCAAAAGATGGACGAAGATTGAGCGAAATAAGTAAGTAAAAATAATCCCTAATATATTAATATTATAAATGCGAAAGTAACTCTGTCTGTCTGTTTGTAGAAATCTGTTACAATTATTGGATTGTTCATTTGTAAATAGTATTTTTTTTAAGTTATTTATTCTTCTGAACCTAAAAATATGTTGATAAACTATATTGTACTAGTTTTCCGCCCGCGTGGAGTTCTGTTATATCGCGTTGCCAAGAGAACCTTTCAAAAGTCTGGGATAAAAACTATCCTACGTTCTTTCTCAAGGTCAACTCCATCTCTGTACCAAATGTCATTAAAATCAGTTCAGCGGTTTAGGCATGAAAGCGTAACAGACAGACAGATATACATAGTAACTTTCGCATTTATAATATTAGTAGGGATTTATTCCCGACACTTATGCTTAAGTCGATACTTTTGTTATAAATATATCGATAAATAGTGATTTATCTTTTACAGAATGCGAGGAGTACAGTAAGCGTGTGTACGAAACAGTAGGATATATAGCGTTGGTTCCGGATCCGGAAACTATGTCGATATCCGCCCCAAAATGTGACTATAACGGAGTCGAGCTGATAGTGGGCGGAGAAGATGCGGAAACTGGGGAATTCCCGCACATGGTGAGTATGGAAATAGGAGGGTAGTTTGGAAAACACGAATAGTATAAAGCCTGGTAATATAATATCAGTAGCTTGAAAAAATATATCCATTGAGAATAATTAATCCTACTTTCCTACTAATATTATAATTGCGAGTTTGTGAGTGTGTGTATGTTTGTTACTTCTTCACGCTCAAACGGCTGGAGCGGTTTTGATAAAATTTTGTATACTGACTGACTTCCATGAATAACACATAGGCTACTTTACATCCCGGAAATACGCGCGTAACACCGCGGGGCGCAGCTAGTACATATATAAAAATAAATAAAACTATAATAGTGTATCCACATTTAAAAAAATAGGAGGATAGCTTAAAAAGAAACACGAATTTTATAATTTTTCTCAAAAATTATCTCTCAGGTTCTTCAGTGAACAAAATGAGTATATTGTATTTATTAATTATATACATATACAGTTTTTATAAAAAAAATAACAAAATAGACTAATAACATTAAAATATTTCATATTTTCTTCTGTTTCAATTAATTAATATTATTGTAAGTTTTCTCAAAATATAAGCAGATGACTTTTATTAAATCTATAGCTGTTGAAAGCATTATAGTTAGTAAGTTAGTTTGTAAGCAAAAGTATAATAAATTAAAATGAATCGGTTATTTATGTACATATTATAACAAAACTGATGCTTTTAATTAATTTTTTATATAGTAATCTAAATAAAAACAAAAAAATATGCTATTAAAACGTAATTTATTTATTTCAAAGGCTGCAATAGGATGGATCAATTTAGAAGGCACATATTCGTTCTTGTGCGGCGGGAGTTTAATAAGTTCCAAGTTCATTCTGACAGCAGCGCATTGTACCAGATACTCAAAAATGAGAGAACCGAAACCAGTCATCGTGAGGTTGGGAGATCAAAACTTAAATACTTCAGTTAGCGACGGTGCTAGCCCTATTGAGGTAAGAAATTATATTATTTTCTAATCACTAAATAACTCACATTTATTTTGGGAACCTAATTAAAAGGCAGCACTAGTAGGTTTAAAAAATTTGTTAGAGAGAGGAGTTTGGATAGTGTAGGTGATCGTTTAACGTTAGATAGGGTCCCTTAAACCTACACCTGGGTCACAAGTACCAGTCACTGTTGAAGCTCCTCTCACTACAACGATGGACCCGACACACGCACCGTGAATACATGGAATGATGAGAGGATTCTTCTTTCCAAATCTTTCGCGAGTATTAATTGGAATGAAACGAACATTTTTCGAATAGTAATTCGTATTTTATTATTTTTAAAAACAATACTCTTAAAACTAACTAACTATACATAAATATCGGTGTAAAAATAAAATAATAAAATGATCGTTTCATTTAAATGAATACTTGTAAGTTTTAGATATCCATAGAATTGAATTTGAACATTTTAAAACTATTCAAACTAGTTCATTATTATTTCATAAATATATAAATGAAATGATTACCTTTTTTGAAGTTGGTTAAATAAGATACACATACGAAGTAAACAATTGAAATTGTATTAAAAATGGTATATGTCCCGTTCGCTTTACCAATAAAGCAGTCGTGTCATAATTAATATTTATACAGGGTGACTGGTGAATTACTATCAATATTTAAGGAGCATACTCGGTACATGATTCTCATTCGAATTATGTAAAAAAAATAGGTACTTAATTTTTGACCAAATTTCCGTATAAATAAATAAAGTGTGTACACATTCCAAGTGTTCCAAGTGTGGACGCGTGCGGTGGCGTGCTGATACAACAACACGCCGCCGCGCGCGTATGTGTGAGTGTGTGTGTATACCTAATCTGTAGGGTGTACATACGATGCGTAATTAATTACATAACTTTTGGTTAACTTTACTTAGTAGTTTATTAATATTTATGTTATATTAATTTTTATTTTGTCATATATGATCGTCAAATATCACGTCCTCAAATATCGATAGTAATTCACCAGTCACCCTGTATATTCAGGTACCAATAAAGAATATTATAAAGCACCCATTATACAAGTCTCCCGGTAAGTATCATGACATAGCGCTACTGGAACTGCTTTCTGACGTGGACTTTGATTCCTCAATCAGACCGGCATGTCTCTGGAACAGAGCCGACTTCCCTGGACATACGAAGGCTGTGGCTACTGGGTGGGGGGTCGTTGACCCGCGTACGTATATTTATTTACTAGTGCTAAACGTGTGTGTGTGTGTGTGTGTGTGTGTAAGCGTGCATGTATGTATGTGTGTGTGATCAATGTTTGTTGGAAATGCGTCCATTGTTTTGAGTATGTATGTGTGTGTAAGCATGCATCTACCAGTGTATTTGTGTGTGTGTTTTTTGATACATAGGGTCAGTACTTTTCAACTATTATGTGTAGTTTTTCACTTAATTGTCGACTCTAAGATTATGTGGAATAAAATTCATTTTATTCTAACAAACTACGGGAATAGATGATAATTTAACATTTACACAAATGTATGTATATTGGTTGTTTTGTTATCAACTATACGAAACAGCATAATACAAATAAATGTAATTTTTGTATGTAGGTAATCACAATAAGAGATTTTACTTCATTTAATGGTTTCTACCTAAAAAATAATATAACTAGCTTTCCGCCCGCATCTTCGCCCGCGTGGAGTTCGGTTATATCACGTTTCCAAGAGAACCTTTCAAAAGTCTGATAAAAACTATCCTATGTTCTTTCTCAAGGTCAACTCTATCTCTGTACTAAATTTCATTAAAATCGGTTCAGTGGTGTAGTCGTAAAAGCGTAACAGACAAACAGAGTTACTTTCGCATTTATAATATCCCTATATTTCTCAGGTACACAGCGTACTTCAGATGAATTACAGAAAGTGTCGCTTACTTTACTAGAGAATGATTTCTGTAATATTTTATTGAAGACTAAGAGGAATAGATTGTGGATGGAAGGTTTTACTGCGGACCAGCTCTGTGCTGGCGAATTAAGAGGAGGGAAGGATACCTGCCAGGTAAGAAAGGATTGTCAATTAAACTTGATTATTATTTCGATAATAATTAATAATATTCGAAATCAGTGGTGGCCTAGTGATTAAAATGCCCGCCTCTCATGCATGAGGACGCGGGTTCGATCCTGGCAAGTACCAATGTGATTTTTCGGAGTCATATGTACTTTCTGAGAGTATTTAGACATCACTGATTAATGCATTCCCAAAGAGGGTTGATGTCAGGCAGGCGGCCGGTCGTAAAAACAAATAGCCAAAACTATTCACAACATGTTCTGTGGAAGAGAAGAACATGTTGTGATGTCCCTACAAAAAGTGGGATCAGGGCAGGAAAAAAAAAAAATAATAGACTATTATTCAAAGTACGGTTTCAGTATTGATTCTTTATAGTTTACAAACACGTGATACTAATGTTGACATAATATTATAATGGTTCAGTATTTTCGTTAATATTTTGCGAATATACATTTAAATGAAACTAATATTTTCGTATACGCATATTTTATTATTTTAAACATACTCCCGATTTTCGATTACTTTGTTACCGTGATTATACACGAAATGACAGAATTTATTTATCCTTACAGCAGCATTATAATGGATCATTCTCATATAAGTATTATTTCCAGGGTGATTCAGGATCTCCTCTCCAAGTGGTGTCAAGAGAGAACAAATGCGTTTTCCATATAGTTGGTATTACGTCTTTTGGTCATAAATGCGCCCAATCTGGAAGCCCCGCTGTGTATACAAGAGTATCTTCATATTTAGACTGGATAGAATCTGTCGTGTGGCCTGGAGAAGGATATAATAAATGATTAATATTATCAATTTTGTTTTAATGTAAGACTACATAATAGTATTCATTCAAATAAAACTATTATTTTTACTCGTTTTTTTTATTATTTTGATTACAACAATGTTTTGGTTACTCTCACTTTTTTCAACTTTACGAGATCAACTCTATGTCTGTACCAAATTTCATTAAAATAAGTTCAGTGGTTTAGGCGTGAAAGCGTAACAGATAGACAGAGTTACTTTAGCGTTTATAATATTAGTAGGGATATGATCCTTTTTTAGTAACATTTCCTTTGTACTTTCGTTTCATTTGAGTTAGAAAAAGTAATTATAATTAATAAATAAATCATAACAATAGCTTGTGGTTGTCATTAATTATTATAAAAATAATATTGGTTTTAATATATATATAGTGGAAACAAAAAGTTCCAGGAAAACTACGAAATTTATGTTTATTATAATAAGAATGACATATTAAAACTTATAACCTACACCTAAGACTACATGATTGACCCGATGTTAGTATATCAATACCATTCCATAGCTTGTGTGTATCAGGAATCTTCTGGTTCACACGCTTGGTGTTCGTTCCGCGGAGTCAGCGGCGTCAATTGTTATATATTATACATACAACGATGTTGCCCCGGCGATGCTCATTAAATTTTTAACATGTTAAACGCTCATAATTATTGTTAAAAGTAAAATGAAATCATAATATTTAATGGAGAATAGATATATGTTTGAATTTAAATATAAATTCGACGTCTGGACTCACGACAGTTGAGTTCAGTGAGTGCGGACCATTGATGAATATAGAACCTTCTAGAAATACAAAGATGTTTAGAACAATTGAAGTTTCATTGTAAAATATCATGGTATTGACTGAAATAAGTGACATTAGTGACGTCAGCAATGATGACGTCACTCAAAAACAAACGAATTAGTATAATAGATATGATTTTCAAGTAATTTAACTTTACTTTGTAAAACCACAACTTTATTCCCAAATTAGGTTTTGCGTCAACGTATGTCATAGTGTCTTTATATAAATTTTTAATACATAATAATTTTAAACTTATATGTTAAATAAATATAGTATATAATATTGTTCTATAATATGTATGTATGTCTTTTAGTTGTTTTGTATCTTTATTACTTGGTTTGTTACTAATAGTAAGCGAATTAAAAGTTAGTGAAGTCAGTGGTGGCCTAGTGGTTAAAAGGTCCGCCTCTCATGCACGAAGACGTGGGTTCGATCCTGGCAAGTACCAATGTGATTTTTCCGCGTGATATGTACTTTCTAGGAGTATTTAGACATCACTGATTGATGCATTCCCAAAGAGGGTTGATGTCAGGCAGGCGGCCGGTCGTAAAAACAATTTGCCAAAAACTATTCACAACATGTAAGGCGGACCCTGACTAAAACTGGGAAATTGCCAGGTAGAAGATATATCCAAAACAAAAACATAATGTTCTTATAACTTTTACAATTCACATATATATTTTACTAGTAAACCTGGCGCACTCCGTTTCGCCACCAGAAGGCTTTTATATAACATTTCGTTTGGTGATTAAAAGATGAAGAACTATTTTTTTTTTGTTTTAAATTTGAAAAGGAAAGTTTTTATTTCATTTCACAACAGTAATGAATTCATTTCGATTACAAAAATGAAGTGTTATTTAGTTGAACTTCTCTAAGTAAATGAAAGTGAATCCAAAGTAGATACCGAATCGAAGCGTTATACGTGTCCGCAAATTATCTGTTTCATTGAAGTGCTCCTTTGTAAACCACATTTTTTGTTATTTGGTCTAACTTTAACACAAATAAAGCGTATGGTTTCCAAACTCGTGAGCACGCAAAATATAACTGCCCATGTGAAAAGCAATGATTTTCTAAATTAATCCCGCAAATACTAAATGGTTTTAAGACTTCAAACTACAAACACAATACCGGTTTGTCACATGAAATTAACTGAGAAGAGAACAATGAGTAGCTGTCAACCAATGTATCATGCGACGGTACATATCATTTACTTAAAATAATGATTGCGTCAGGATGGAAAACCGGACTTATTTTTATATAGTAGATCTCTTACAAATATCTAATTGTCATCATTACGTCATTACATACGTCATTATTTAATTGCATAGCTGTCAATTGTGTTTCGTTATTCCACGTTTTATAATGACTGACGTTTCATGTCAAGTCCCACGGGAATGCTGTCGAACGGGATAAAAAGTATCCTATTGTAATTTCCTGGTTCTAAACTACTTCCCTGCCAATTTTCAGCTAAATCGGTTCAGCCGTTCTTGGGTTATAAGTGGGGTAACTAACACGACTTTCTTTTATATATATAGATGACATCTAAAGTCTAGACGGATACGAAGTCTTTTATGACATATAAAATATATTTATAAACATATATATATAAACATATATATATATATGTGTATATATATTGCATAAAAATATAAGGAAATATACCCAACCGGTTCATTTGACAACAATAAAAGCGGAATAAAGACGTCTCTGTTGATAAAATCCGGTTAAATGTTTGTTAACACTTAAATCTTTGTGTTTTAAACAAGATATATGTTTTAGGTAAGAATATATATATAAATACAATATTTTATTAAAATATATATTTTTTTAAATCAAAATAAATCAAAATTGAATTATTTTTTATATAATCTTTGTTGAAAATTATACTCAATATCTCGTTGTAAGTCATTTAGTGCTTCATCTACCGTGAATGTTAAAAATTTTATGTATTTAATAAGTAAACTTGATTTTTATAATAGAAATAACGAAAAAGTCTCCAAGAATAATACTGTGTTGTGGTAAATGGCTTAATTGCTATGAGAGGAATATAATTAAAAGTGTAAAGTGCAAAGGAAATAGTGAAGTAATTAAAAATACACATATATATATATATATATTTGTATACTTATGTATATAAGAAAGTCGTGTTAGTTACACTATTTATAACTCTAACGACTGTACGGGTTTGGATGAAGATTGGTGGAGAGATAGATTAGAACATAGAAAGGACATAGGATACTTTACATACGATTGAACAAGAAAATAATAAGTTGATCAAATACAAAATCTTCTTATCTACTGTCTTTAAGGAATAGAGTTCGCCCGAAAAGATATACATTCCTAATTTTAAAAGAAACCAAGATGAAGTCGCGGACAAAAACTAGTATGTAATATTTATATAATATTTAAATATATTATATAAATATGATCAGATGAACTATTTGACCTATAAGCTTGTATATAGTTATGATAATAAATAATAGTGATACATAATTTTTCAAATTAATTTAATAATAATTTATATAACAACTTTTTTAATAAAATTATCATTCATTATTCTCATTTTATTAAAATAAAATCAATACAAATTATTTACCAATAAACGCCAGAAAACAGTGTTAGTCTGACAATTCATATTTCTCAAATTATGTTCGGATTTTCCAAGAAGTATGCAGCTAAAAATAAATTTGGGTTTTCATTATACGATGAACAAAAAAATCAGTCAAGAACTAATCGGATTGGCGTACTTGGTTCTGTATAAAATAAAAAACTATATAAGCATTCTATAATAATTATTTTATTTATATATATAACTAGCTTTTGCCGCGGCCTCGTCCGCGTGGAATAGTTACTTCCGGCAAATTTTTGGTTCTTCCCACATAGTTCCCGTTCTTGCGGGATTTTCGGAATGGTCGAGTTCCCGTAGAATTTTCAGGATGAAACCTATGTTTTTTTTATTAATAATGAAGTACTCTTAACCAACAACATATTTATTTGTTTATATGAATAAAGATTAATATTATTATTTTGATACAACTTAAACAAATTATTTCGACAAAATTAGGTACCATAAAAACGGTTTTTGTGAGTTAATCTTAAAAGATAGACATATACTGTCCCGGACTGTTTTTTAGATCATTAAAAGAGCTATTATTCTTTAATACATATTTTTTGTGTATCTTGAACCGTTTTCACGGCGCACGCAAGGGAAGGCTTCAAAGATGAAATAATTACTCCCGTTTTTTACACATTTACCACTATATCTTTGCTCCTATTGGTCGTAGCGTGATGTTATATAGCTCAGAGCCTTCCTCGATAACTCGACTATCCAACACAAAAATAATTATTCAATTCGAACCCGTAGTTTCGGAGATTAGCGCTTTCAAACAAACAAACAAACTCTTCAGCTTTATAATATTAGTATAGATTTAAATTGTGATAATTAAAACTATCTAATTATCCCTGTTTAAAAGATACCGTCACAAAAAGGACAGTCAAATTACTAATTAACATTTTACATTTAGGGTATTGAAATCAAAAGTTTAGAAATCAATCAAATTATTTAATTTTGATTCATTTAATACCGATTTTTCCTTGAAGTAATCAAATGTTATTAATATTAACAATATTATTAGCAGATAGTATAATATTGAAGCCATATTTTTTTTATGTAAACCATGACGGCTGAATAGAATTTTAGTTAATAATAACTAAAATTTTCGTATATATTACATTTAAATGAAACTAATATTTTTGTATACTAGTCGTTTTTTTATTATTTTATATCTACATCCTGACGTATCAGTACTACTACTACTTTATAGTGACCGTGATTATTAAGAGATGAAAGTGTATGATATATATAAAATAATAAAAAACAATTATACATAATAATCCTAATCATTGAAAATATATGTATATATATGTATATGTGTCTTTTTTGTACCAGAACACAATCAAATGGAGGTGCTGTTTTTTATACTCATCTTCACACAACTTGGGTATTCTCAGAAACGTGAGTATTATTTCAATTATTAATAGATTTTTAATAAGAATAACATTTCGTAAACATATATATGTATATAAGTAATTTCACAGTAAAATATGTATATTAATTTACATATCAGTACCTATAAACTGTTTTAAGTTTTAATATACATATATATCTATAGCTTCATCATATTAGAAAAGTTTATAAAACAAGTTGTGTAAAACATTGTAATATAATTATGGGAGAAACCCGGGGATCATAGTTATTAATAAAATATTTAACTAATACCGTTTGAAATAACTTTGAAGGATTCAGTATGCATATATTAGAGAAATCTTCAGAGAATTAAAATATGCTTTAATACAAAGATTTTTGATTAAATCTGTTTATAGGAATGAATTGTCTTCTTCTTTTTGTCAATTTCCCAGCTAAATGTCCGCCTTACATGTTGTGAATAGTTTTGGTTAATTGTTTTTACGACCGGCCGCCTGCCTGACATCAACCCTCTTTGGGAATGCATTAATCAGTAAATACTATTATATGCATTGTTCATAGGAATGATTTTATGGAAAGATAATTAATTTAAAGAATGAAGTAAGAATAACTTTATTCTTACTTCAATAATTCTTCTTGAATATTATCCCTATTATAAATGCGAAAGTAACTCTGTCTGTCTGTTATGCTTTCACACCTAAACCACTGAACTGATTTTAATGAAATTTGGTACAGAGATAGAGTCAACCTTGAGAAAGAACATAGGATAGTTTTTATCCTAGACTTTTGAAAGGTTCTCTCGAAAACACCATATAAATGAACTTCACGCGGGTGAAACTGCGGGCGGAAAGTTAGTTTTCTATACTCTTGAATAGAATTTTGTACTTAATTTTTGTGTCAAAATAAATCTTCAACATTTCTATCAGCGAAATGCTGCCGACTTTGAGGTTTTAATAACTTGTTTTTTAACACTAATAGGTCTATTAAGTCTTCTAATTTTACCAAAAGTCTTCTTTCTATACGTTACTATCATGGCTAACAATTCGTAGAGCAACAAAATTTTTATTGTTATTTAAAATCACTTCATTAATGCCAGGGCTATCAATTTAATTTGTCCACAAAAAATATTAAATACGATTTAATTTTTGTAAGATATTTTCGGCATATTGCGTTTTTTTTCCACTAAGAAGTAGTTTCTTTGAAACTTAATGATTATAACCATGGAATATATATTAATTTCTTTGGCATATACGTAAAAATGATTTTGTTAATTACTGTACATATTCAAGCAAGTCTCGACATGTTTTTTACTTCTGTCTTGTGGTTTAAACTCTAAAGCACACTGGTTTAATTTATTTTAATTGGTTTTTTAATTAGTTGGGGAGCTCTGCCTAAAACAAGCCACAAACACCCTTGGAGTGTGTACTGCAGCAGCTAGATGTGAGTCAGCTAGACAGGAATATGCGTGAGTTATTACTTTTAATATTATTATTATAACTGACTGGCAATATGTTGTTTGTTACTTAATAAGTCAATAATTATTTAGCAGATTTTGATAATATTTTGATGTTAAATGGCTATATAGATGGAGAAAGATATAGAAAGATTTTTTTATAAAAATTGTATATTCAAAGATTGTGTTTTAATTAATATACATATAATTTAGATGTCTCTTCGTTTATAAATATATTATTTTTCAATTGTTCCTATAGCATAATAACTGGAGTAGTTTTTAAAACAAATATGATATTTTCTCTTATAATTACAAAGATTTAAGTCACATATAAGTAATCTTAACTTTTGACGAATTATAATTATTATTATATGAAAAACATAAATACACCATTATCGCGAGCAAAATCGTGTGAAGAATATAGTTGATGTATAAAATAGGCTTCTGGCCTAAGTGTTCTAAGTTACAAAAACATAAATTGGTAAACTAAAAAGACAGTTACCAAGTTTTCGTCCACATATATATGTATTGTATTGGTCGTTTCAAATTGTGTTAGGTAGAGAGAGGTATGTACGGTGTAGGTGATCGTTTAACGTTAGATAGGGTCCCTTAAACCTACACCTGGGTCACAAGTCCCAGTCACTGTTGAAGCTCCTCTCACTACAACGATGGACCCGACATACGCACCGTGAATACATGGAATGATGAGAAGATTCATCTCTTTTAAGTATGAATTAAAAAATTTAAACTGCTTGTATTTAGTTTAAGAAGTCAAATTCGTGAAGATTAAGTGAGGTCTTAAGAGTAAGATTAACTCTGCAAGTAATATATATATTTGTCTGTCAAAGGAAAATATTGTGTTATTATTTTCCTCGTAATTTTGTTATAACAAACATATTTATTGATATTTCCTAAAATAGAAAACTGAAGGAAAATTTAATATTCTCACAGTAACAAGATAGGTACAGATATTTTAATTTTAATCAAAAATTTTACTTATTAAATTAAATATTATAAAATAATGTATGGACTTATTGATATATATTTGAACTCGAATTTCGTTGCAAATATAAATATGTTGGATTATTCATAATAAATATATCTTATAATATTAAAAGATAAAAAATATTAAAGATTGAAGCCATATATGTATAAAACCTGTATTATACAAAAAGCTTTAACTAGAAATCAATTATATGAAGCAAATTATCAATATTTGAGGAAAATCAAGATAAATTTAGATATCCTTTTTTTGCAAAAACTTTAATAATCACCTAATATGAGGATAAATATTGTATATTGGCATGACTTCGGAAGATGAAGCATCAATTCTTGATCTTGCCCCATCTACTCTACGAGACGTGCCTGGTCCAAAAACATAACGAAAACCAACCAAGAGGGAATACATAGCCAAGCAGGACACCAGCAATTATGTTCTAATTGTCTACCGCCTATTGAATTTGAAAATTTAAAAAACAATATCCCTACTAATATTATAAATGCGAAAGTAACTCTGTCTGTCTGTTACGCTTTCACGCCTAAACCACTGAACTGATTTTAATGAAATTTGGTACAGACATAGAGTTGATCTTGAGAAAGAACATAGGATAGTTTTTATCCCAGATCGACCTCCTAACCGAACTCCACGCGGGCGAAGCTGCTATCGAAAAGCTAGTAGAAAATAAAAGAGAAAAGACTAGATAAATTATTTCTTTCGACAGTTTTTTGTTTGGCCGTGAAAAGACTAACATATATTATTACTATGTCTAGACGCCGAGTTTTATGAAAAAAATTAAATCGAGTGACAGAAATTACAATTATTAATTGCTACGATATGAATTTGACTTGAAATTAAGAAAAAATAATAGTAATATATCAATATTCGTAATTAATAGACAGGCATTAATCAAACTTTATATGTCAAATGTGGGTACACTGAAAATTAGTGACTGCAAGTTGTGTAGTTTTAACATTTAACACACTTTATACATTTTTCTCAGCCCCAATCTAAAGTTAATCGGACAGAGGCGCGTGCAAAACTAGTTTAATTATAATTATTAATGTTTTTCCAGGCTCAATAGAATAATACCAACATTCTGTCAAAGGTTTGAGACCACAGTCGTAGTCTGTTGCAGCGACAACACGTTGACTTTCGGATCTGTCAAGTGAGTTACTAATTAAATCAATAATTGTTAAAAAATAGTTATTTTACTTAAAAAAATGTATTATTAATGCTGTTATAGTAAAAGAAATGTTTATGCAAACAGTAATTATTGTTGTAGCTTGAAAAATAGTGAAAAATTTCTTATAATTTATTTGTTACGATAAAGAATTTGTATTTTATGACTACTATATTCTATACTGTCTGATGTAACTTGGAACTCATTATGTTGCGTTTAAATTAGATAACTATTAGTAAGGATACTGAACTATAGAATCTATACGTGTTACGTTAGGTTTGTTCGTAAATTACTTTCACTTTGAACGTGTGTCATTAGTGGCCCTATATGTGCCGTACTAATTATACATCTATATGTATTTCCATGGTCGTGATGGCCTAATGGTTAAAGGTCTGCCTCTAATACATAAAGGCGCGGGTTCGATCCTGGCAAGTACCAATGTGATTGTTCCGAGTCATATGTACTTTAAGAGTATTTAGACATCACTGACTGATGAAAGAAATATTGAGAGGAAACATGGACTTATAGTTTCAAATTATAAGTTTGAAATCGCCAACCCGTCTTGAGCGAGCGTGATTAATGCTCAAACCTTCTCCATGTGAGAAGAGGCTCAGCAGTGGGCTCTGATAGGCTGATGAATGTATTTACTGTGGTAATAATAACTTTTTATTATATTTCAGTGTCCCACCTCCCATTCAACCGCTGAGATTACCATCACCTCAACCTGTACCAAAACCAACTAATAATGAGCTCCGATTGAGTGAGAGAAGTAAGGATCATTTATATGTATATTATAAATAGGTATGAGAATTGTCATTCTAGTTTCATAAGAACAGAATAATTATATATATAATTAGCACATGAAAATATACACACATATTAATTTAAAATCAATATATATTTTCGATATTATCAAATTATAGGAAGTATTAAAGTTTTTATCTATTTTTAATAACACATTTTTTTACATTCCGTAAGAGGCGTTAGTAAAAAATATATCTATTGTAGCGCACTTTCTTCTTCTTGGACTATAAGTACAGCAAAATAATTTAATTTGTTTAAAATCTTTTTGAAAGATTTGATATTTCACTTAACTCAAAAATGGAATGGATCCAATAGTTTAATTTTTTAAAACGAAATTATGTTTTTCGGATCGAAAATTCGTTAAAATGTAACATAGAATTACATAGTACATCCAAAAAGCATAGCACTAGGTTAAACTTACAAAAATCCCAACTTTAAAGTTGTTTTGTTATAAAATTGTAACAATATTATATAATAATCTTGTATACTAAATATATAACAGAATGCGCGGAATATAGCAACGATGTAGTCGAAAATATTGACGATACTGGTGGCATAAAAACGTCGAAATGTGACTACAATAAGCAACACTTGATAGTGGGGGGAGAAGATGCCGAAAGGGGGGAATTTCCACACATGGTGAGTGAAGTCTTAAATTATATATATTGCTAAATATGTCCAAGAAAAATTACTCAATTCTGATAAGAAATAGAGATTATCTTCTTCTTCTACCTGGCAATTTCTTTAGCCAAGGTCAGCCTTACTTGTTATGAATAGTTTTGGCTAATTGTTTTTACGACCGGCCGCTAATTGTTTTAATTGTTAATTGGTTTTTGTTTTTAATAGAGATAATATTTTACAAAATATATAGAGGAGTAATGCGATCTAAGGTTTACGCGAGTTTTATTCATTTAAATGAAACTAATGTTTCTCGGATATACTACGTGACTTTATTTTCGTAAAATACTACATACTCCCGAAGTTTCGGCTACTTTTCAGCACGTGTTCACGGTTGATGAAAAGTAACCGAAACGTCGGGAGTATGTAGTTAAAATAATAATTACGTGTAGTATACGAATAATATTAGTTTCATTTAAATATATACATAGATGAATAGTTGATTGTTTGTTATTGGTGATGTGCAAAGAGATAATAGACTAAATAGTATAATTTTAATTGTTATTAATATAAAAAAATAACTTTACTACAGATAACTATATGAATATCGTTAATTCTGTTTTTTATTGCAATAATTTTACGTAATCTCAATATTACTTTAGGTTCTTTTCAAATTGTGTTAGGTAGAGAGAGGAGTTTGAACAGTGGAGGTGAGCGTTTAACGTTAGATATGGTCTCTTAAACCTACACCTGGGTCACAAGTACCAGTCACTGTTGAAGCTCCTCTCACTACAACGATGGACCCGACACACGCATATAAATACATTGAATAATGAGAGGTTTCGTCTTTCATTAGGCAGCGATTGGTTGGATAAACCTTGAAGGTACATATTCCTTCCTGTGTGGAGGGAGCCTTATCAGCCCCAAGTTCGTGATGACAGCCGCACACTGCTCCAAATACGCCAAGATGAGAATCCCAAGACCAGTCATCGTGAGACTCGGAGACCAGAACATTAATACGGAGAAGTTTGATGGGGCAAATCCCATTGATGTAAGAAGATAATTATTTGAATGAAATACTCTTTGGTATGAAAAAACTTTACTTTCAAAAGCTCTTGTACCAGACATACACACAGATATACATTGATATTTGACGTATAACATAGCATTTTTGGATCGCAAATAAAAGCATATGTAATGAAAAAATCGAACCTGTGAATACTACATCGTATCTGAGTAGCTTTATCAAATGAACTATCGTGACTTTAAAGGAGAATTTTACATTTCATTAAATTTAGAAAGTAGATCAATGTCACATATCTACCTGGCAATTTCCCGGCTATAGCCAGGGTTTGTCTTCCATGTTGTGAATAGTTTTTGGCTAATTGTTTTTACGACCGGCCGCCTGCCTGACATCAACCCTCTTTTGGGAATCAGCATTAATCAGTGATGTCTAAATATTCTTAGAAAGTACATATGATTCGGAAAAATCACATTGGTACTTGCCCGGGCCACAATGTCACATATATAATGACAAAACTCTATTCAACTGCTTTCAAAACTGAGACGATTTAGATAATTCTATCTATTAATCTCTATTTCTTTCTATATATGATTCTGTTCATCTTATTTTGTCACTCAAAATATGTTTTCAAATAGGTGAAAATCAAAAGGATCCTAAACCACCCGCTGTATAAATCTCCGGGAAAATACAACGATATTATGCTCTTGGAATTGGAGACAGAAGTCAAATTCGAGGCGGCCATTAGACCTGCATGTTTGTGGAGTCAACCTGATTTCGAGGAGTATACTACAGCTGTAGCGATAGGTTGGGGTATTACTGACCCACGTAAGTTTAATCAAATTGTGTTAAAAGTGGTGCCATCTGTGCCAATTATAATCTACTATCTTTCCGCCCGCAGCTTCGCCCGCGTGGAGTTCGGTTATATCGCGTTTCCAAGAGAACCTTTCAAAAGTCTGAAATAAAAACTATCCTATGTTCTTTCTCAAGGTCAACTCTATCTCTGTTCCAAATTTCATTAAAATCAGTTCAGTGATTTAGGCGTGAAAGCGTAACAAACAGACAGACAGAGTTACTTTCGCATTTATAATATTAGTAGGGATAGTTAGAAAAAAGACTGTAATTGTATGAATCATTATGCGATACTTAGATAAAAGTGTCCTTTTCTTGTCAGTGATTGCAACTGCTAGGAGACAAAAAATTATCCAATTCTTAACTAAATATCAATAATCTGAAAGTTTTCTACTAACCGCCAGTCGTACCGACGATCACTTATTAACCAAAAACATCCCTACTAATATTATAAATGCAAAAGTAACTCTGTCTGTCTGTCTGTTACGCTTTCACGGATAAACCACTGAACTGATTTTAATGAAATTTGGCACAGAGATATATAATGAAATTTGGCACAGAGATAGAGTAGACCTTGAGAAAGAACGTAGGATAGTTTTTGGAAACGCGATATAACCGAACTACACGCGGGCGAAGCTGCAGGCGGAAAGCTAGTTGATAATAAAAGTCTTCAGTTTCTGAGTGAAAACTAATACTAAGCCTATATTAAGAAGAAATTCAATATAAATTTACTTAACATTAAATATATTATCTAATTCCTTTCTTTGTTTCATTCCAGGCACACAAAGAACTTCCGACGAGCTCAGAAAAGTATCGCTGTCATTATTCAACAATACCTTTTGTAAAAGTGTTTTGACACCAAAAAGGAATCGCAATTGGCCGGATGGGTTCAGAGACACGCAGGTCTGTGCTGGGGAATTACGAGGAGGGAAAGACACGTGCCAGGTATATGTAGTATACACACTACTTAATACTTATATATTTTATCTATTTTTTTTATGTATTAAGTAATTTGTACACCCCTACCATCCTATCTCTCTCCTCTACCAAAGGTTGCCTGGAAGAGATCGCTGTTTTAGCGATAAGGCACATATTGTACATTTTTCTTTTCATTGTTTTACTCCTATTTTTTTGTCTATATTGGTGTGCATATAAAGAGTATATAAATATATAAATAAATCCATTTTCTATGATTTGCTTAAGAATAGCACAAAATTTAACTTCAATAATGTCAGCTCACGCTGTTTTCTCACTAAAATCTAAATGTACTCATAATCTTCTTACAATTCTAGTTTTATAGTGTATATTAAATAAACGTATTTATTTAATAAACATTTAGACTATAAGTGGAGTCTTAAACATCGAAAATGAGAGACAACTGAAAATTATTGAAATGATTCTTAAGATATATGACACAAGTTTGAGCTCAAAAAAGATTATTATGTATTGTGTTTGATTACACAAAATACGTGTTGTCTAACAAAGATTTATATCATTTACATGATACCACCCATATATGTGTGTTTAAAATTTAATACACGAAGTTCCAAGAACATTTTACTTATATCTTATTAATCTTTCAGGGTGACTCCGGATCTCCACTCCAAGTTGTCTCCAAACAGAATAAATGCGTGTTTTACGTTGTAGCCATAACTTCGTTCGGACCAGGCTGTGCTTTGAAGGGAACGCCAGCTATTTACACGAGAGTATCCTCATATCTTGATTGGATCGAATCAGTTGTGTGGCCAGAGGGATAGTTATCATAGATAAATGAGCAACGGAAATAATTAAAAAATTGTCCTAATGTCAAATCAATTTGAGAGCTACTTACGCCATCTATAAAGTTATAATGGAAAATAGTGTCAAAGTTGTTGTCTTGTTCGTTAGATGGCAGCACTTTCTATACATTAATTTCTTATACGTTAATTATATGACAGTTTTCATCCCCATCGATAGTTATTTTAAACAATGTTTTGTCGAGTCGCTACTTCATTTGTAGACAGGAACGCGGTCCGGAACTAAAGATAATTTCTAATGACGAGAATTGGCTGACGTATTAAAAAAGAATTACAAATAATTGCAGATTTCTGTACACACATAATTGGTTTTGTCATTATTTTAATTTTGCTTTCCTTTTTATGCTATATACAGGGCGAAAATTGTGAGAAATCTGCCCCAAGGCGTCAGATAATATATATACGCGTTAAGTTAAAAGAAAAATTAGCACAAAAACACTGATTTTAAATTGTATTAGACTGCAATTCCGGCCATATATACTACGGTCTACTAGAAAGTTCCACCTGTGCAAGTAGACTAGAAAGTGTGTGGAAATAGACCTCTGCAGTTTTTAAATCTGCACAGGCATACCTGCAGAATACCTCTTCGGTAGACCGTAGCGAGTATGGTCGGTATTAGTATCTTTTTTAAATTTCGTTTTAATGTCGCTGACAAAAGAAATTGTGATGTATTTTGTTTCTTTGAACCCCACTTGATGTAAGAATATTAGACTTAATTTTTAATGGTATCTTATTAATATTTAAATTAAAATGTTACTAGAATCGATATTAACAGATTTTTATTCTCAAATAATATTTGTTAGTTATTGTCAATTTTATTAAAAATTCTCTTATAAGAGTTATAAAATATTGAAAGTCCCTTTCTTTAACAAACGTCATTCCATTTTATTTAGCTATACATTTTAGTGATTTTCTTAGTTAACTGAAGAAACTGCATTTAATAAAACCTTTTTAATAATTTATAAAACGTTTGTCTTTCAATAGTTATACCATAAAAAAATAGCCATAATCACAATATCATTTACATGTCAAATTTGATTTAACTTTTAATAAATTGTAATAATAAATTTGCTGATCATCCTCATATAAAAACAAACCTTATGTTCTGTAGCAAAAGCTTGAAAATTGAATAAAACACATTAGTTACTTTTTTAATAAACAAAAAAAATTTATGGCCTTCGTCCATGTAAAAAAGTACACAATATTTTGCCAATGGCGAATAGGCACGATTAAAAATTGCCTTGTAATCATAATAATAGTTATTGTTTCGTAAAATAGCAACATAAATTTAATTCTCACAATCATTAGTATAATTTTTTTAATTATGAGTCAAATCTTAATTATATTTTATACCCAACACGGGCAAAATGGATAAGAATTTGTTTTGTCTGTTTTCATGTCTCGAATGTTCTATAAGTAACTTGAATTCACTCAAATGTTAACAAAATAAAGATAATTATATTTTAAGTTGGTTTCTGGTCTTCCAATAATAAAAAAATAATTTCCTTAAAGACGTTTCTATTAAAATATTTTAAAGATGTCAATTTTTATTAATAAAATGATAATTTAGATTTTACTTAAAAGCTAAAATATTTCAATCTTAATCTTATACATATTTCTTTCAAGTAGTATTCAGAAAATAGATTACTTAAATAAAACAGAAAATTAATAATATATTTTAATTAGTCATAATAAAAATAATTTACAAGTATTATATTTCACATTATCAAAAGCATTTGGTTACAATAACATATCAGAAAAACAAAATTTAAAAAAACGGTCAAATAAGATCAAATAAAACAAATATATATTTAATTATTAATGATAATAATTAATATACAATTTGGTGAAAAAACATTAATTTTATGTAAAAAAAGTATTAAATATAAGCTGTCATATATATGTATTTATGTAAATACAATATTATTTGCAATAACTTAATCAGAATTACCCATAGTGGGTGATAGCGCCCTCTAGTGAAAGAAACGGGAACATTATGTATGGGAAGGAGTGATTTGTAATTAAAATTAATTAACAAAGTTATAGATGTTTTTTTTACTAAAAATATGAGTACTAAATATAATTTGTTCTCGCACACAGTATAAGCAACCTGGCCTAAGCTGTATAAATTAGAAACCAATATGATTCATATCATACAATTTCTTGCTTAACAACGCTATACATATAGTGTGGCTTAAATATATTGTGAATATAAGCTAGAGTCGTCGGTAAAAAACAGGTCAAAGATATATATATGTATTTATTTATAGGTGGTGTATTACCAAATGGGTAGAACCATAAGCCTCTCCGATTTCCATCTCTTATATGGTGAGTTGTAAATGCAATTATGATCACAAATGCCGATACGTATATATTAATTTTACGTGATAATTGACTGTATATAAGTAGAATCGTTGTGACGATGATCCAGAATGTACTGCAATGGAAGATACCTCGTTGTTTTAAACTCGCCAGGTCCTAGAAATTAAATAAATAATATTTATTCTCTTTTAATTGTAGGTATAAAACTTTTCGGTAAATAAAAACTGTAATGTCTTTGGTAATATTGGTGGATATTTTTTTAATAAAATATGCTAAAATTGAGTAGCATTTTATTCTCTTATATCTATTGGTGCTACCAGTGCTAGATTATGTTGAAGAAAACATTGCTAAAAATAATATAAGTTTAAGATGAGTTATGATTACAATTAGTATAATTATAGATTTGTTTTGCTATTTTCAATATAATATGAATAATTTAAACTTAATTATTATCAAAAGTAATAAATATTCAATGTAACTCACCGCGAAATGAAAGGATTTCGCCAAAATAAAATGATCTACATCTATCAATGATGAAATCGCGGTACACAAAAATACGTTACATATATACACTTGGCTTGTTACATTCACTCCGTGGTTAAAAAACAATAAAGACGAGAGCAACCCCACAGCAGCGTGGACGGTATTATCAGCAAATGCACGATAAATCTGATTATTTGAATATTTGCTCTTAAATACCACATAATCACCGATAACTAACGTAAAACATATCGCGAATGTCAATAAAGTGTTTGTGAATTTCATTTTTGTTACATATTTTCATTGTTTTTTGTGTATTATTAATAATTTCGTTGTATGAACACATTATTTATTTATTTATCCCATTGTTATCAGTTACGAAAACTTTTTACAATCAAAATTTGTTTGACGTTCATTGCAATGTTTAGAAATTTCTAAGTTCAATGTCAAAGTTAAATATTTTTTACTAAAGTATAATATAATTTTGAAATGAAATCTAATATTTTATTATGATTAGTAATTTAGTTGTTTTTTCTTTTTATGCAAACACTTCCTTAAAATACATTTTAATATGACTCAATGCTATTAAATATAGAATGTATAACATATTAGTGTAATATAAAAACTACAAGTATAGATTTTTCCTACGTGATTACATTCCATAATAGAAACATATTAAAAACATAGAGTTGAAAATAGAGCAACATTAACCACAAGTTAAACTGATTACTAAGAAAAAAAATCTATTAATTTTATAATACCTTACACGTCATACATTTGTTTCTAGCTACAGACCATCTTAATTTGGTCGGCTATTCCGTTTACTTCCAACAACGAAGACCCAGTTAATAAGCTATATTACATTGAACTGAAGGTCAATTGAAAATGGACAATGTAATCTGTCATATCTTTATCAAATAGAGTCAGTACTGATAATTAACTGATAAGTCGAGTATCATTTTAGTCGGCTCTATGTTAGGTGCATATAGATTTTGATATTTTTTATATTTAAAATATACGGTGATCATAATATTATTGAAAATGCGTGAAATAGTACATGTGCAAGCTGGCCAATGCGGTAATCAGATCGGATCAAAGGTAAGGAATACTTTACGTCATATTTTAAATTAAAACTTAAATAAAATTAGAATTTTAGTAGCTAACCATAAAATAGTATGAAATAGACTACGTTAATCGAATGTTTTGTAGTTTAAATATAAGTTTTACAGCACCAAAGCAACTTTTCCTTTCGTAATTTTAACGCACGAACTTCGTGCTATTTGCTAATTAGGATTGTACGTACTTCATTGACGTCATATATGACAATATAAGTATTATTTTACGAAATTTAATTTTCTAGTTTAACTTTTAATATATGGTATTTAATATAAGTAATATATTAAATCAATATTAATACAAACATTATTATTTGTATCTGACTTCAAAGTAAATGTTTTTTGGTTATTTATAAATGTTTCGTAATTCATGAATCGATTTTGCTATTTATTTTTATAAGCTAGAAGTAAATAAAAATATATTAAATAATTACAAGTTATTATGTACGCAATCATTTTTTTTTATTAATAATTAAATAGTATTTTAGTCGTGAAAATGAGACTTAGTTTAGTAGTTTTTAAGTAATAATATTATTAATTTTATTTATTTCTAGAAGTAATTTCACTTTTTTTTACTATCAAGTTCAATGCCCTAGAAACAAGACTTGAATTTCATATACTAATCCAAGGATGAAACCCAACAAAAATTTACTTGAGGGTTTTCGTATTAAATAGAAAAAAAAGTAATCATTATTTATTAATAATGAAAAAATAATAAAACAATATTTTGTTCTAAATATTTAGATTTATCTTTTTATATGTGTAGTGTAAAAGACTTTAAACATTTATTCCATTTAGTTTTTCTTTTTATTTATAATTTTAATATAAATATTTGTTATCTGTGTAAATTTTAAGACTTCTTTTCGTTTAATCGTTATAAGAAAAAATATATAAAAATTTAGAATAATGGATGGAAATAAGCTCTAGATTTTACAATCAGACTGTTTAATTATGATTAAAAATAATCATCGGGAATTATTTAATCAAATTATTCACCGTTTTTATTCGTCAAGATTTCAACGGGATTTTCAACTTGATAAAATTATCTTTCAATGTCATTTAGTATGAAATTTTAAAGAATAATTATTTGCTAATTTCTATACTTACAAATATAAATTTATTAGCACCATATTTAACTAATATTACTTAATATACGACAATGATTTTTGGGTAAAATATCAATTTTTTTATACGTTAAATGTAATGTAACTTCTTGTCTGTCAAGATGACATGCGGTAAAAGTTCTGAAATATTGGAATCTTCTATATATATAAAAATGGATTGCTGTTCCTTAGTCTCGCTAAAACTCGAGAACAGCTGAACGGATTTATCATATCTTAGTCTTGAAATGTTCTTGGAGGTTCAGGGAAGGTATAAAAGCTGAAAAAAATTTATTCATTACTGGGAAAACCATAAAAACAGCCCTTTTCTTATTTCCCATACAAACGTTTTTATTGACATTAGATTTGACAACTAACGAATATGTCAATCATTCTGTCGCACTTCAAAACACAGAGATTTATGGCTTAGGTACAGGTAAACTCCAAAAATATAAATAAAAAAACGTAATAGATATTTCTTGATTATAGGGCGATACGAAGTTCGCCAGGTCTTCTAGTAATATAATAAAAATGTCGAAAAAACTTCGTTTCATTTAAATATGTACTATCAAAAATCGTACATCTTGATAGTTATGTCTAATTGACTTATGGAGATCCAAATTAGGATGATGCTGCCTGCTATCCTAACTTGTCCAGATTAAATAGATCCCATATTATAAATGCGAAAGTAACTCGGTCATCTGTTACGCTTTCACGCCGAAACCACTGAACTGATTTTAATGAAATTTGGTACAGACATAGAGTTGACCTTGAGAAAGAACATAGGATAGTTTTTATCCCAGACTCTTGAAAGGTTCTCTTGGAAACGCGATATAACCGAACTCCATGCGGGCGAAGCTGCGGGCGGAAAGCTAGTAATAATATAATTATATGATGTTCCCAAAGTAATATTTAATTTATATATATATATGTTGAATGTTTCTCAAGTATCAAATAATTAATATTTCTAAGCCGCTTGCGATATCAAATTTCAACCGCAGTAATATTCTTGCTTCAATGATTGTATCGTAGCTAGAATAATTTGTTCCTATTAATTTTTATATAGCGTATAATCGTATATTGTTTTAAATTGTCATTCTTATAGGATTATTTATTACGATATTTGAAGAAATTTCATATTTCAATAATTCTAGTTACTTTTGGGCAGCATACAATACAATAATTTAATTTTTTCACTTAACACACTCTCGCAATTATTATTTGGGATGAAGTAACATAAAAATCAATATTACATAATTTCTATCACGCATATAGGAGATTCGTAAAAAAAAGTGCAGCATTTAGGAGCATTGCTATAATCACGGGAAATTTTTAATTTTGATTCCTATGACAAACTCCTTGAAGGTTGAATTTCGTCAAATCAATTCTTAGCTGACCTCTACTTAGCGGAAGGAATATTACTACCAAATTCCAAGTCCCATGCCTTATGGTTTCAGAAATATTATGATGAGTCAATATATCGCTGAAAAGTCTTATATATTTGTGCGTGTGTGTGTGTGTGTGTGTGCGTGCGTGCGTGCGTGCGTGCGTGCGTGTGTGTGTGTGTGTTGAAGTATTCCATTTCAACAATATCTTCCAAATGAAACAAGTTAAAACAGAAAATCTCTACAAATATTATAAATGCGAAAGTAACTCTGTCTGTCTGTTATGCTTTCACGCCTAAACCACTGAACTGATTTTAATGAAATTTGGTACACACCAGAGTTGACCTTGAGAAAGAACAAAGGATAGTTTTTATAAACTTTTGAAAGGTTCTCTTGGAAACGCAATATAACCGAACTCCACGCGGGCAAAGCTGCGGGCGGAAAGCTAGTAATCTATATAAAGTTAATACTAGTATATTATATAGTTTTTTTAACGTATTTATTTCGTGTTATTCGTGTCTAGTTCTGGGAGGTGATATCCGACGAACACGGCATAGACCCGACCGGCCACTACAAGGGAGTGAGTGATCTACAGGCTGAGAGACTCAACGTGTACTATAATGAAGCAGCCGAAGGTTAGTCTAATATCATTATACAGGGTGTTCAATATACAGGGTGACTGGTGAATTAAAATTAAGTACCTATTTTTTTTACATAATTCGAATGAGAATCATGTACCGAGTATTCTCCTAAAATATTGATAGTAATTCACCAGTCACCCTGTATATATAGATAAAACTAATACTACCATTATACAGGGTGTTCAATACATACAGTAGAAACTCGATTAACCGGACTAATTGTTGTCGATAGTCATTCGGATAATCGAATGTATGAAGAAAAGATGGTTTTGTGCATATGTAGTACATAACATTATATGTTTATTTAAACAATAAATTACAATTTTAATTTTGTTTATAATATATGTTAATTGTCATTTGTCGTACGCCACTCTCAACAACACCACTCTCTTATACTTTGACATCTTTTCTTGTCTGGACTTGTCCGTAGTCCGGATAATCACGAATCCGTATAACTGAGGGCTGGATAATCGGGTTTCTACTAAATAAAACTAACACTATCATTATATAGGGTGTTCAATGTATATATATAACTAATATTTTGAAATTACTACCCGTTTTTTGTTATTTTAACCACATACTATCGATGTTTCGTTTAGTCTGACCATGATCACGGTTGCTTGAAAGACGTCGGGAGTATGTAGTTAAAAATAATAAAATAACGCGTAATAATTCGAAAATATTAGTTTTATTTAAATGAATAATCGCAAAAGTCATATAGATAAGTATATTTAAGTATATATATATCTATTTTTTTGCCTTTTCTGGGTTTCTGTACCTGCTGAACAAATCTTGCTAAAGTTTTTTGTACCAAAATAATCTTTGGTAGAGATCGCTTTTAAGAGATAAATTATACTTTACGTGGGATATTTCTTTTATAGTATCATAGTTATTTCTACTTTTTGGTACATAAATAAATATACAAAATAAATATGATATACGTGTTTACAATGTTTCTAAAAAAAGGGTTTACGCTACAAGACCCCTATTCCATTTATGTATGCTAATGACTTAGTTGCATCTTAATTTCTTTTATATATATACCATTATATCTACTAAGAAAATATATAGAAGTAAAATTATATGTCAATAATATTGTTTATTAATCGTAAAATAAATCAAAGATTATACCCATCTTTTAATAACTATCACCACATTCCAATTTCTAGTACATCACTAGTATAATTTATTTATTTATTTTTGCACCAATAAAGTATACAGTAAATTATTAATAATATATGTACAAGGGATAGCTTAACTCTAACAAGAGATCTCTTCCAGAAATCCTAATTTTTTGTCCATTTGCAATACAAATTTATAGTGTACAATATCAACAAACTATTTATTATTATAAAATTGAAGTAGACTATAACCGGATAAACTATACCAGGTAAATTCGTTCCCCGGGCTGTTCTTGTGGACTTGGAGCCTGGAACTATGGATTCTGTCCGTTCAGGTCCATACGGTCAACTGTTCAGACCTGATAACTTCGTATTTGGACAAAGCGGCGCTGGTAAGTATTATACAATTAAATATTACCCACCAAATCTATATACATAAAAATGAATTGCTGTTCGTTAGTCTCACTAAAACTCGAGAACGGCTGAACGGATTTATCTTATCTTAATCTTGAAATGTTCGTGGAGGTTCAGGGAAGGTTTAAAAGCTGAATTTTTTTTATTAATTTCCGGGAAAACCCTAAACGCGCTTTTTTATTTCCAATACAAACGGTTTTTTTGACATTAGATTTGACAACTAACTAATATGTCAATCATTCTGTCGCACTTCAAAACATGGAGATTTATGGCTATAATAGGTAAACTCCAAAAATATAAATAAAATAACGTAACAGATATTTCTTGATTATAGGGCGATACGAAGTTCGCCGGGTCAGCTAGTATCGTATAAAAAGTCGTGGTTGCCTAGAGACTAAAAGTACACCTCTCATTTGATAAATATGTAAATATTATATAAACCAGAACTAGTATATAACATAGGAAATTAGGAGCACAATAAAATTCTAATATTTAATCGGTGACAAAGCCACATACGAATACTTTAAAAATTACTAACAATTATTTATTATAAATCTACCCTACATATATCGTGCATGAGAGTTCGAAACCTGGCAAGTACCAATGTGATTTTTCCGAGTCATATGTACTTATAAGTATTTAGATACCACTGATTAATGAAGGAAAACATCGTGAGGAAATATGGACTTATCAAATAAGTTTGAAATCACCAACCCGTCTTGAGCATGATGATTAATGCTCAAACCTTCTCCATGTGAGAAGAGGCTCAGCAGTGGGCTCTGATAGGATGATGATGAACCAAATATCTATTTTATGTGTAAAAAGAGTATTAATGTAATAATCTCCTAATATATCAAATTATAAGTTTGAAATCACCGACCCGTCTTGAGCATGGTGATCAATGCTCAAACCTTCTCCATGTGAGAAGAGACTCAGCAGTGGGCTCTGATAGGATGATGATGATAAAACAAATATCTATTTTAATGTAATAATTTCGTAATAGGTAATAACTGGGCTAAAGGTCACTACACAGAGGGCGCTGAGCTCGTTGACGCTGTGTTGGATGTTATTCGAAAAGAGGCTGAAGGATGCGATTGTCTACAAGGTAAGAAATACATGTAAAAGAAAAACAAGATTTATAAAATCTATTCAACATAACACTTAATCAAAAACACTAATTTTCCTTCTATCTTATATACAGCTATACTAATATTTTTCATCACAACAATTGCATTTTAAAGACACTATCAAATTAAACAATATGTAAATCAAATTTATTTTAATATTACTAATATCCGTCCGTCGAAGTCAGTCCTAGTAGGTTAATTTCAAATTTGGTAGAGAGAGGAGCTTGTACGGTGGAGGTGATCGTTTAACGTTAGATAGGGTCCCTTAAACCTACACCTGGGTCACAAGTACCAGTCACTGTTGAAGCTCCTCTCACTACAACGATGGACCCGACACACGCACTGTGAATACATGGAATGATGAGAGGATTCGTCTCTCTATATATATTAAACCTACACCTGGGTCGCAAGTACCAGTCACTGTTGAAGCTCCTCTCACTACAACGATGGACCCGACACACGCACTGTGAATACATGGAATGATGAGAGGATTCGTCTCTCTATATATATTAAACCTACACCTGGGTCACAAGTCCCAGTCACTGTTGAAGCTCCTCTCACTACAACGATGGACCCGACACACGCACCGTGAATACATGGAATGATGAGAGGATTCGTCTCTCTATATATATTAAACCTACACCTGGGTCACAAGTCCCAGTCACTGTTGAAGCTCCTCTCACTACAACGATGGACCCGACACACGCACCGTGAATACATGGAATGATGAGAAGTTTCTTTATCTAGGTTTCCAAATGACACATTCTCTTGGCGGAGGAACTGGTTCAGGCATGGGGACTCTATTACTGAGTAAAATCAGAGAAGAATACCCCGATCGAATTATGAATACCTTCAGTGTAGTCCCATCACCCAAGGTAATATATTTGATGAAATATTATCAATTAACCAGTTATACATATACAGGGTGACTGGTGAATTACTATCAATATTTAAGGAGCATACTCGGTACATGATTCTCATTCGAATTATGTAAAAAAAATAGGTACTTAATTTTTGACAAAATTTCCGTATAAATAAATAAAGTGTTGACACGTTCCAAGTGTTCAAGTGTGGACGCGTGTGGCGGCGTGCTGATACAACACCACGCCCCGCGCGCGTATGTGTGTGTGTGTGTGTATACCTAATTTGTAGGGTGTTCATACGATGCGTAATTAATTACATAACTTTTGCTTAACTTTACTCAGAAGTTTATTAATATTTATGTTATATTAATTTTTATTTTGTCATATATGATCGTCAAATATCACGTCCTCAAATATCGATAGTAATTCACCAGTCACCCTGTATACATATATAAAACATGCATATTAATTAGAAAAATACTCACAAAAACAATACACAAATAACATTTAATACTAAAACATGTAAACATGAACACAAACTTGAATTACCCAAGACCAGGATCAAATATTGAATTAAAGTTATACAGTTTGAGGGAGCGAAACTATATAATAGCTTACCTATTGAAATTTTACGATTTTTACAAAGAAATTCTTAACTTATTATAAAAAGCACTTAGATTAATTCTTGAATTATATAAGTCGTTACTACAAAACTAAATTGTTATTTAAATTAAATTATTTAATACATCTCATTTAAGTGAACATTGTATGTTCTATGAGAAATAAAGTTCTTGTACCTACTCCAATAGATAAGTCATAAAAACATATCGCTTTATCGTCCTATAATAAAATATTGATAGAATTTAATTTGTACTCCTTGTAATCATGAGTATTAATAAAAATAGTATTACAATATATATTTTTATCAACTGATATATGTACTCAAAACAAAGTTCCAAGAACTTAAATATAACTAATTTTTTTCGAATTATACTACACGTATTTTGTTATTGTATAAACTACATACTCCCGACGTTTCGGTTACTTTTCAGCAACCGTGATCATTAAGACGAGATGTCTCTCGTAATATAGGAAAAATATTAGTTTCATTTAAATGAATACTCACCAAAGTCTCTTTATGTGTTCTAAGGAATTTTATGTTTTATTAAAAGCTGTATTACCTTTAATATATTCCTACTAATATTATAAATACGAAAGTAACTTTGTCTGTCTGTTACGCTTTCACGCCTAAACCACTGAACTGATTTTAATGACATTTGGTACATATAGAGTTGACCTTGAGAAAGAACATAGGATAGTTTTTATAAACTTTTGAAATGTTCTCTTGGAAACGCGATATAACCGAACTCCACGCGGACGAAGCTGCGGGCGGAAAGCTAGTATATATAAGATTTTTTTGCCAAACTTTTCAGGTCAGCGAAGTGGTGTTGGAGCCGTACAACGCTACTCTTTCAGTGCACCAATTAGTTGAGAACACAGATATGTCTTATTGTATAGACAATGAAGCTCTTTACAACATTTGCTTCAGAACACTACGATTGAGCAGCCCAAGTTACGGAGACCTTAATCATTTGATATCTGTGAGTATTCTTAATTAAGACCACTGACTGATGAAGGAAAACATCGTGAGGAAACATGGACTTGTATTAAATAAGTTTGAAATCACCAACCCTTAATGGTGATTAATGCTCAAACCTTCTCCACGTGAGAAGAGGCTCAGCAGTGGGCTCTGATACAAAGTCTACTACTATTAGCTACTACTAATTTTTAAACTACTAATAAGTCATAGATTTAGGAGTAAATTTTCTGTTTACCATTTTAGTCTATATCAAATATTTGAATGAAATTGCAACCGGCATATCTTGGGTTTATTTCTTAAATTAGTTATGCCAGATCATTAAAATGAGTCAAAGTTTATGAAGATTTTTCAATAATATTGTAGATTCTGCCTAAAATAACAAAATAATAACATTAGTATTCTTTTATATATAATTATTGACGACTCTATTAAGAATGATCATGTAGAACCATTTATTTAGCGTCACTATACAATTAGTCTTAATAATTATATCAAATAGTAAAAAAAGTGGTTTTCCTAAACAATAACATACATTTATTTAGTTTTCAGAATTCATTTACCCTTTTTAATGACATAAGAACACTTTTGACATTTTTATTCTATTAAAAACTGTCATTAAATTTGACGGTCAATGAAACGTCAATACAAAAAATAAATTGTTTTTAGAGTTTTAACAGAGAAATAACTTTCCAAATATATTGAATATCGTTTTAATACATATTTCTTATCTTTACTTGTTTTTCTGATAAATTACGGATTAAAATGATTAATATCAAGTTTCTGATAAACAGAGTTTATTATCAGATATATGATTTCATTTCAATTTATTATATTATATTGTTTTAAGAGATTATTAAACGGCTAAAATGACTTTAAAGAATCTTTTTATAGTTTGCAATCTGAGAAAATATTAACAATGTCACTGATTTGACCTAAATACGTAAATGATTTAACTTCTTTAAGTAAAAATGAATTTGATTCATTTCATTTTAAGTCAGTGGGGGCCTAGTTGTTAAGTGGCCTCTCATGCATGAGGGCGCGGGTTCGATCCTGGCCCGGGCAAGTACCAATGTGATCTTTTCCGAGTCATATGTACTTTATAAGAGTATTTAGACATCACTGATTAATGCATTCCCAAAGAGGGTTGATGTCAGGCAGGCGGCCGGTCGTAAAAACAATTAGCCAAACTATTCACAAAATGTAATGCAGAACCTGGCTACAGCTGGGAAAAATGAATTTAATTACTCTCCACAATATTACTGTTGGTAAATTATTGTCATTTCAAAGTTTTGTAAAGATTTTTTTACACAGATACAGTTTATGGACAATATATTTAAAATATTAACTACATAATTTTTCAAATATTTCATCTTATTTTATAAATTAGTATATAAATGAGAGTTTATTCCTTTCCTTACATGTATACAATTAAATACTTAAACATAGTATTGTAGATTAAAATCTTCTATCAATATTCCAAACAAAATTAATATTTCTATTAAATTTCATATATTACATTCATTACTAAAATCATTATAACTTTGTCCATCATCACACACTTTAACACTAATTCTGACATTTATCACGAGTGTCGCCATCTGTGCCGTACTAATTATACTATACTATAATCCTTACAATTATTATTATGACTGATTATAATTAATTATAGTACTGAACAATTGTAATTTATGTCAACATTTAAGTATCATTGTATTTGTAAACCATAAATACTGGCTTCAGTCATCTTGTAAGACATTACTGGAAGTAACGATGAACATTAAGAATCAATATTGAAACTGTATCTAGAACAATATTATCTAGAATCTAGATTAAGATAATCTTCTTTTCTATCAGATGACTATGTCAGGAGTAACAACATGTCTTCGTTTCCCTGGACAACTGAACGCCGATCTCAGGAAACTTGCTGTCAATATGGTGCCATTCCCGAGACTGCACTTTTTTATGCCCGGTATGGTTAATAAGAATTTAAAACTATATCAAGATGCCTTATGTCTTATTTTTTAATGTCCAAATTTATATATTACTAGCTTTCCGCCCGCAGCTTCGCCCGCGTGGAGTTAGATTATATCGCGTTTCCAAGAGAACCTTTCAAAAGTCTGGGATAAAAACTATCCTATGTTCTTTCTCAAGGTCAACTCTATCTCTGTACCAAATTTCATTAAAATCAGTTCAGTGGTTTAGGCGTGAAAGCGTAACAGACAGACAGACTGAGTTACTTTCGCATTTCTTAGATTTTGTTTCGTATTAAAGAATTTGTTTATATGGCATTATTTTAGTCAATTTGTTTTTATTTTCTGACTCCAATAACATGTCACACACACACACATTTTGAAAAGAGTTTGCTATATAATAATAATAACTGTTAAGATTATTTTTACAAAAGAAGAATATTATTTGTATATTCTCTAAAATGAGTTAATCCCCTTGGAATTTACATTGGAAACAAATTTTCTTACTGTACACTTATGAAAGAATTATTATTATTATTAGTAACAAAATATACATTATCTTTTCCCAGGCTTCGCTCCTCTCACAGCCAGAAACTCTTTCAACTACCGCCCTCAAACCGTTCCTGAGCTCATGAGTCAAGTAAGATATTAAATATTTCACAGAAAACTATGATTTATGTTCATATAATATGTCCAGAATCAATATTAAAATCACGTATTGATTTATTTCATAAAAAAAAATATTTATACATTCGTGCTAATCGCCTATCCGACAATAGATGGCGCTTTTATCCAAAACGTTTCAAAACTCATGTGATTCCAAGTTTCACCGATAGATGTCGCTCTCATTAATAACTAATTTAGATGTTTAACTAATTAATAACTAATTTAGATGTTCAATCCTGGTAACATGATGACTGCGTGCGACCCTCGACACGGCCGTTACCTCACAGTGGCGACTGTATTCAGAGGTCACATGTCCATGAGAGAGGTTGATGACCAAGTTCTGGCTGTACAGAACAAAAATTCCAGGTGAGATAGAAGTAGTTGATAGCTATATAGAAAGTAATATAGTACAGTAATACCCCGCTTTACGCGAGGGATACCTTCCAAAGAAAATCGCGTTAACTGAAATTCGCGTATATCGAGGTTTATGATTAAACACAGTCAAAATTTAATACACAAATATAAAAATCATTTTAATCAATCACTTTAATTCTAAGAACACTATACAATACATAAGTACTCCTATTTTTTACGAAAAAATACATGTATTGTCTTTTGGGTAGCGTTTTGTTTACGTTCTTGTAAACTACGTTCATAACACCCAACACTGTTTTTAATCGTTTGACACACGGTCAAGGCGCGGTCATCATTATTATCTATACTCTGCAATATGTCCAAGTCTGAATAAATTTTTGAAATTCGCGTTATAGTGAAACCTCGCACCACGGGGTCGCGTTAAGCGGGGTATTACTGTACTAAGTTCTGATATTTTCATGAAACTAATATTTTGCGGATATATAACACGAATTTATTTTATTTTTTGATTGATTATAATGAATCATAATACTGAAGCATTGTAATTTTATGACATTTAAGTATCATTGTATTTGATAAATAAATAATGGCTTCGGCCTATTTGTAAGACATTACTGGAAGTAACATAACATTATCAAGATTGATATTCTGGTTTGTAACTCGAACATTATAATTCTCTTAAAATATTATCCGAAACTATGTAGTATATTTAGACGAGTGTACCAGTTTACTTAAGCTTAATGTACATTATATTCAATATATCAATTTAATCCACCAGCTACTTCGTGGAATGGATCCCGAACAACTTGAAAGTGGCTGTCTGCGACGTCCCTCCTCGTGGTCTCAAGATGTCAGCTACTTTCATAGGGAACACTACAGCTATACAGGAGATATTCAAACGCATTTCAGAACAATTCACTGCTATGTTCAGAAGAAGAGTAAGTTTAGAATAAAAATCTAATAAAATCAGTGGTGGCCTAGTGGTTAAAAGGCCCGCCTCTCATGCATTTAGCGCGGGTTTGATCCTGGCAAGTACATTGATTTTTCCGAGTTATATGTACTTATAAGAGTATTTAGACACTGATAAATGCATTCCCAAAGAGGGTTGATGTCAGGCAGGCAACAAATATAATAACATAACATAATCTTTATGAAAGTTTGAAAATTATTAGTGATTAGAGAAAGCCCTAATAAAACATTATATGTATATTTCAATTTTAGTGCTGAAATTTATCTAGAAAAAAACTATCATTTTATAAAAAATATATATAGAACTCCTTAAAGTGAAATGAAAATATCCAATTAATATATTCCTTTAACAAAAAAAGCTTGATATAATAGTTATATATGACATTTAATTTATTATAATCATACAGTAAATTACATAAATCAAACATACATGAGTGAAGTAAAAATATCAAATCAATTAAATTTATTATAATTATCAATTATTTTTGACGTAATACATGTTTCTGCCCCAGGCGTTCCTCCACTGGTACACTGGTGAAGGTATGGATGAAATGGAATTCACGGAAGCAGCCAGCAACATGGCTGATCTTATATCAGAATACCAACAATATCAGGTAATATATATCTTTATGTATATAATTCTTCTGTGAGTGTGTATGTCACTGAACTTCTCTAAAACGACTGAACGGATTTTGATAATTTTTTTTGTGTGTGTTCAAGGGGATCTGGGAATAGTTTAGATTCACAATTTTGTCCACTGGACAATGTTTTTTTAATTAATTTTTAATTTGTTAGTAGTTGTTGATACAAACGTTTTTTTAACATTAGATTTGACAACTAACTAATATGTCAATCATTCTGTCGCACTTCAGAACACGGAGATTTATGGCTTTAATAGGTAAACTCCAAAAATATAAATAAAAAAACGTAACAGATATTTCTTGATTATAGGACTATACGAAGTTCGCCGGGTCTTCTAGTATATATATATTGATTTATTAATACTTGAAATGATCATTTTATATCTCTTATAAATAATATCGCACGAACAAATGAACATGCCAATTTAAAACAGATTTTGTATTCAAAGGAAGTGTATAAAGATATATTTTATGTTATGGCTTCATTCGCACTGGAATCGTGGAAAATTCTGCTAATGGCAATAATTTATTTGTTGAGAGAATTATAATCTTGAGTACTGTGTGGAAACACGAAGGAATTTATTAATTATTATGATTTAAAAAGAAATGTATTGCTAAAATCTTATTTTTATAACACAGGAGGCTAACGTGGATGATGAAGAAGTAGGCTTCGACGAGGAAGAAGAAGAAGACGATCAAAATTATGACCACAAAGAGTCAGTTCATGTTCCACTATAAACACCATCTTGTTTAATACAAGAATTATCCCGCATTTATTTTGGTACTTAATCACTTTTTATTATCATTTACTTGTTCAATGAGTGTTATGTTTTAAGGTTGTAGATGTGATTTGAATGTTTTTTTCAATAAAAATATATTTGAAATATTACTTTCGTTTTATTTGGTGTGAAAAAAATAATTAAACGGTTTATTAATAATGTGACTATTATTGGTCTGTGTTTTAAATGAAATGTAATGAAATTAAGAAAGATAAAAGGAATAATCCACCGACATATACATTTATTAGTTGCTCAGTAAAAAAAAAAAAAGAATTAAACAGAAAATAATGCAAAACGAAGACCATTAACATTGCTGTCATTCATTTACGTTTAGTTCTGTAAATGCCGGTGTAGTGTTTGTATATATACAAAATATATAATACACTGTCTCACGTACCCCACTAGAGGGGCGGCATGCGCTCGGCAGTCTTACGACTAGCGCGGAGCAGAATGGTGACGTGCGCCTGCGCTCTAGGCGGGAAGGCTTCCTATTTTTTCTGAGTAAAACAAACCGCATTCAACTCAGGTAAGTCAAATCTTTGCATAACTCTTAAGGCGGCCGTACACGGACTGCTCGAGCAGTATAGTCATGGATTCTGACAAGGAGACACTGCTTTTGCCGCTTCTGCTCAAGCGAAGACAACGGCGGTGACGTCAAAAGAGAAAATTTTGGGTTCATCCAATTTTGGAATTAAGAGAACAACATGGACAATTCTATCATTTGTTTATGGAACTTAGATTAAGTGATGAAGATCAATTATTCAACTATTTTAGGATGTCAGTGTCTTCGATGAAATGAATAATATAAAAATTGTTCATTGACCAACAACACCGAATTATTTGTGTAAATGTTAATAAAATAGGGTAATTACACGTTTGCAGGTACATTAATTGAAGATGAAGCAAATTTAGCCGTTAAAACATTATTTAAATGACTCATCCACTGCTGTGACAATATGTCAAACCTTTCCTCCAGATTCCGAAAACTAGCTCAAATTATTATCAACTGTATCTAACGCGCGTTAAACGCTCGCCTCCACCGTACAAGCTCCTCTCTCTATTTAACCAATATACATATTTTTTATTGTTGAATATTTCGTTATTGAAATCATTACGTGGAATGTTTTACTTTTGATCTATCCGAAGCAATTTTTTTCATAAATATTTTTGAATGTCATATGTATAAACAAGCAATTCTTTAAAAAAATTGTTATCATGATATAAAATGTTTATTTCTGTCATTATTACTTAAAATGGAAAATTTAAATACTTAGAGTCTCACGAACAGTTAAAAAAGCAATTTAACCAGAGTTTATATTATTCACATAAAATTTATATGAAATAAACTTCACACACACACACTACCACGACTCACACACACACACAAACACATAATAATTTCACCTTATCTTCTTCCTGGCAATTTCCCAGCTTCAGCCAGGGTCTGTCTACACCTAATTTCACCTTACATTTTAGATCAAACTTATCTAACTTCCAACAAAATATACCACGAATTTATCCTCAACAAAATAAAAAAAATATATTATAAATTATTTAATACATAATAAGTTACATAAATAGCGCATACATGAGATTATTATTACATCTTAACATTAAAATATTGTTTGTCAATCATAAGATCTATCTTGGGATCGTACAATCCTTGTATATCTATCTCGCTTGCACTCGGGACACCGGTAATATTCTGTCCTTGTCTTTTTGCCCTGGATCGCTTCGGCCAAGGCTTCTTCAGATGTACATATGTTATGTGAGCTCGCTTTTCACTCGCATGTTTAAAACATTTACCACACATCTCGCATTTAAATGGCTTAAGTCCGGTGTGAATCTGTAAAGAAATTATATATATAGAGAATCTAATAGTTTAGGCATGACTGAGCTAAAAAGAAACATATTATTATGTATATATTCTGTTCACCCTAGAATATAATAGCATTTTTTAGGTATTGTTTAAATAATATCTGGTTACCGAGCTTTGTTCAGTATTTAGGGATTATTAGTATTTATTTTTGTGTTCTTTTTTCATTTCGTTTATTAATTTTTAAGTGAACACTTTAAGAAGACACAAAACAATATAAATCAACAATTAATTTCTTAGTCTAACCTTAAAACAAACACTCATTGACTTCCAGTTACTTAACAACGCCATCTGCTGTTGTGTCATAAATCAATTAGAACAAAGTAGTATTACTATTCGCCAATAGATGTCAGGGAGAGTCATATTTTAAACGATTCTTTTTTTGTTTTTTTTTAATAAAATAACATTTTCTAGAAATGATTCCTAGCTAGATCGATTTATCACCCCCGAAACCCTCTATACAGGGTGACTGGTGAATTACTATCGATATTTGAGGACGTGATATTTGACGATCATATATGACAAAATAAAAATTAATATAACATAAATATTAATAAACTTCTAAATGAAGTTAACCAAAAGTTATGTAATTAATTACGCATCGTATGAACACCATACAGATTAGGTATACACACACACACACACACACTCGCGCGCGGCGGCGTGTTGTTGTATCAGCACGCCGCACGCGTCTACACTTGGAACACTTGGAACGTGTACACACTTTATTTATTTATACGGAAATTTGGTCAAAAATTAAGTACCTATTGTTTTTACATAATTCGAATGAGAATCATGTACCGAGTATGCTCCTTAAATATTGATAGTAATTCACCAGTCACCCTGTATATTGAATTAAATGAAATTTGGTCTTATAAATTATATTCCACCTTTATGTTTCCACAATAATAACTACACTTAAAATTAATTATAGTGCGTTTGATTTAAGCTGAGCTTCGCATTTATGTAAGTACATACGGACAGTGTAGGTGTGATGTCAAATTTTTGAATGCCACGTTCTTTTCTATGTTTTAACCGGATTATTCTACTTTTACTTTTCCCTGCACCTTCCTCACTTCACCCTTTGTACTGATAGCAACTTCAAATGTTGAAAAAGCAATGTCAAGTAAAGAAAAATTTGTATTGTTTTTCAAAATTTTCATTGCTTAATAATTTTTTTCCATAATATTTCCATTTGGCCTTACAAGTTTTGCTTATTTTATTTTTAATCTAGAATAACTCTAGCACACGTTATGTATCTATTTAAAATATAATAACATTTTATTCTAAAAGTTTTTTATCTAACTCTACTTTTACTTTCACACAAATGCAAAGCTCAGTAAGTCTAACGGACTATACTTTCATATAAAAAACTACTTTTTTACACACATAGTATGGAATAACAATCACTATATATATAGAATCAATACACATACGATCATATGTCTCTGCCTGTTACTGTGTGTGCTAAATCCCTTCCCGCACAGAGCACATGTGTAGTGCCGAGTCTGTCTGTGCACTCTTCTGTGCGCCACAAGTCTTTGTTTCATACGGAACCTTTTGCCACACTCACAAGCGAAGGGCCTCTCGTTTGTATGCACCCAGCGGTGGTCCTTCAATAATGCGTGACTCTAAAAAAATATATATATATTATATTAAAAAAATACATATGTATTTATTATTTTTAAGTAAAATTTGCATCTATGGTGAATAAAAGTTCAATCATTACATTGGAGGTGTGACATAAAATAAGATATTATAATTTTAAATAACCGTGATAAATGGTGAATTTAATTTAATTTAATGAATAAAACTGCTTACAAAATTATTGTTATTCAGATGACATATGCACTTACAGTGGATACATAAGTTATGGTTTCCATATCCGCGGAAATGGAATTAATTAAATAATTATAATTATTTTGTGATAATTATATGTTGTATAAGATTTAAGTTCGTGGTGTTAATTTTTGTGATGATAACACTACATTCCAAACACATACATATACTTATATGTGTGTGTGTGTGTGTGTGTGTGTGTGTGTGTGTGTGTGTGTGTGTGTGTGTGTGTGTGTGTGTGTGTGTGTCACAATGCATAAAGGTTTATTTATACTATATAAAAGAAGTCTACTGTCCCTGAGCTAGGTATAAACCTGTATTTCAAGCGACAGCACTCTCCTGTTGCTCTATATAACTAGTATAGTAAAATAGAATTAGTAGTATGTGTAAAATTGAGCATGAGTATATTTGAGATGTGTGTGTGTGTGTGTGTGTGTGTCTGTCTGTGCGTATACCTGGAACATTCTTCCGCAAACCTCACACATGCAAGGCGTCTTCATACTCGGGTAGTTGGTTCTATTCTTGTCTGGATGGTTTCGTCTGAAGTGTGCGTGGTAGGCGCGGGAATCCTCTAACTGCATGCCGCACTGATAAATAACATACATACATATATATCATATCATAGAATCATATATATCATATCATATTATATCAATTATTATTATAAAGCTTGCGAGTTTCGACTTGTTATTTAAACTTATTTTATCTTAGGGTACATCAAATTTATTATATATATCTATATATCTAGTTTTATACTAAAGTATGCCGTATTATTGAAATTCCAAATAATTATAATATATTTCGATTACATACATTTAATTTGAACCAAACCTTTAAACTCCCGAACGCACCCGAAGTGTCGTTAAAGAGATGACGTTTGGTTTGTTCACTTTTACGAGCGAAAGTATTTGTACACGAGACTTGTGTGTTTGTAAACTGAATTAAACTTATTGGAGGTGTTTTGATTTAAGATGATAATTAATTTGTTCTAGTTAAGGTTTGATTTATTAAAAAATATTGACTTTATATGACAACTATATATTTTTAATGATCTTGATATATCCCTACTAATATTATAAATGGGAAAGTAACTCTGTCTGTCTGTTAAACTTTCACGCCTAAACCACTGAACTGATTTTAATGAAATTTGGTACAGATAGAGTTGACCTTGAGAAAGAACATAGGATAGTTTTTATCCCGGACTTTTGAAAGGTTCTCTTGGAAACGCGATATAACAGAACTCCACGCGGGCGAAGCTGCGGGCGGAAAGCTAGTATATATATATATTTCTTACTTGTTCGCACGGTATAGGTCCCTCCGCCTTCCTAACTTGACTCGGATATATTTTCTTGTCGTTCAAATCATTCTTTTCGTTGTCATCTTTGTCCAGAGCGTCTCTTGATTTTCTTCCGCGTTTCGGTTTGCTTGGGTCCTTGGATATTCTGATAAAAATGTGATATGTATATATAAAAATATTAATAATATATTATTCGGGATATTCATAGATAGTTAATGTTTTGAAAGTAGTGAATATCTCGAAAATGTAATGCATGCCTTATTGTCAATACTACAATCCATTTAATCTGTCTGTGTATTTTAATTCGTCAACAACAATAACACTATAATTATGAATGGGATAATTTGTAATCTGATTTCGGTATATAGCTTTCTTTTGAGGCTTTCATACCTGTCATTAAAATAAAGTATTTGATGAAATAAATAGTAAGTGGTGAAAGTCTCGAACAATGTACTCATCATAAAACCAATGATCACTATAAAAGTCTCGAAAAGTCCCGAAAATATATGACACTATATAATTCGTAATACTCACTCATCACTAGCATGTCTAGCGGAGACGCTCAGATGTCGTTTGTAAGCTTCTTGTGATATGAAACGGACATCACATACTTCACATAACGGCCCGTCTTCTGGAACCTGGAATTGATAATAGTTTTCATTATATAATGAGATCTAACTGAAAAGTTACTAAAACGTCGAGTATGTAGTTAATGAGACGAAACCTCTCATCATTCAATGTATTCACGGTGCGTGTGTCGGGTCCATCGTTGTAGTGAGAGGAGCTTCAACAGTGACTGTGACTTGTGACCCAGGTATAGGTTTAAGGGACCCTATCTAACGTTAAACGATCACCTTCACTGTACAAGATCCTCTCTACCAAATATGAAACGAATCTACTAGGGCTGCCTTCGATAATCTGCTTCTAATGTAAATACGTGGAATTTTACAATGCTAGTCACACGGATTTGCACTATTTCCGACGAAATATAACTATTTTTTCTCCGAATTTCATTCTTAATTTCACGCTATCGTAGTTTTTACACATACTACATTAATGCCGCGTCTTCGCTCGTCTATACAACATATTACCTGTCCAAGTTGTAATCTGTGTTTCAGTTTCTTGTGCAAGTCAATTCCCTTCTGACTCACGAAGCAGTACCCGCACAGCGCGCACACGAAGTCTGAAGGGTGTTTGATACGTATATGACCCATGTATGTTGTGAATTTACTGAAACAATAACATTATACATAGAATACAATTAAATATTAGTTTTGAGATTTAATATTATAGAAAACTAGCTTTCCGCCCGCAGCTTCGCCCGCATGGAGTTCGGTTATATCGCGTTTTCAAGAGAACCTTTCAGAAGTCAGGGATAAAAACTATCCTATGTTCTTTCTCAAGGTTAACTCTATGTCTGTACCAAATTTCATTAAAATCAGTTTAGTGGTTTAGGCGTGAAAGCGTAACAGACAGACAGACAGAGTTACTTTCGCATTTATATTATTAGTAGGGATACATTATTATAGCATAAATCGAAACTATGGAAAAAAATGTGATTTTTCCTAGTCATATTGTCTAAGAGTATTTAGACACCACCGACAGATGAAGGAAAACATCGTGAGGAAACATGGACTTATATCAAATTATAAGTTTGAAATCACCAACCCGTCTTTAGCAAGAGTGATTAATGCTCTAACCTTCTGTATGTGAGAAGAGGCTCAGCACTGGGCTCTGATAGGATGATGATAGCATAAATCGAATTTGCATAGATTTGCATCATCAAAGTAATCACTGATTTAAAAGTTTCTCATTAATATATTCATGCTTAAAATACAAAATTCTGGTAAGGATACTACAATTACTTTAAAGACTACTATGACTTATCACAAAATAACAAAGTCAATATGACTCCGTTTTTGACTGTGACTGCCTTTTCTGACTATGAGTGACTTCATTAACTCACAGGAATACTTCATTGCAGTGTGGACACTCGTACTTGGTGCCTTTGTGCCATCTCTCGTGGAGCCTCGCGGTTTGTCTGTTAATATAATAAATAACTTAGATATATATATTAAAATAAAATTTAATTGAATAGTATCAAGATTTTATCTATAAAAGTTATATTAAAAGTAATTTTTTTATTATTTTTTCAAATATATCATTAACTCACTCTTCACTCTACTTCACTCACGTAATTAATGATACAGTAAGAAACAATCATTTAAACAATATTCATTTATAAACGCTATGATTCGCTCATTTTTAAATTACTATTTGATTCATTCATCACTATTAATCATTCATCTACTGAGTCACTCATTCACTCACCTGTGCGTAGTAACGAAAGCACACCGGTTACAATTGAATCTCTGAGCGTGATGCGCCGTCGTGTGTTTCCTCAACGCATGAGAATGTTTGAAATGTGTCTTACATATTTCACATGAATATTCACCGCATTGCTGAAATGTTACATTAATTTGTATAGAAGCAAAGCTCAGGTCGTTAATCCCGAGATTATGTGTATAGGGTTAACGACCTAAGTTCATTTTTAATGTAATTTTTCGAAATATTTATTTTGGAAGTTACATTAATTAGATTATGTTAGAATTATTATTGTAAAGGAGAAGAGAAATCAAAATATCACAAAAAGTTCTTTTGGTAGTGTAAACAATTGTTTTAACAATTTATCTATCAACGACATATGTATAAGCAATTTTAAATACAACTTTATTTGGATAATTTTTTCCACTTGATTCAAAATTCTAAACAGATTATGATAGAGAAAAATATATTGATATAAATTCTTATTTAATAAAGAAAACGCGGAATTTTTAAGTAAATAGATTATTTAAATTTCATTACTGAATCCTCTACATCCTACTAATATTATAATTGCGAAAGTTTGTGAGTGTGTGTATATTTGTTACTTCTTCACGCTCAAACGGCTAAACTGATTTTGATAAAATTTTGTATACAAGAAGCTGACATCCAGGAATAACATATAGGCTACTTTACATCCCGGAACACCGCGGGGCGCAGCTAGTATATATATACTTACAGTAGTATGTCTTGTCATATGTCCATTATATGCTCCTTCATCCAGAAAACCCTTAAAACACTCCATGCACTTATACATTGAGTTCTTAAAATTTGAACTTTCTTGCCTTTTCTGTATATCAGCTACTTGTTCCTCAAACGTCAAATCAGTTATGGTAAATAGACTTTCATTCAAATCATCATTAAGAAAAGGTTTCCTTCTTCTATCTATTTTTGGTTCTGTAATCTTCTTTACTTTCTTCTTTTTTGCCTTCTTTATTTTACTTCTTTGTGCTTCTAATGGCAAGCTATCGTCTGTTGTATAACCCAAGAGTGTGTCTTGCTCGTCAATATATTCCTTTTCTATTTTAACATGTTCTTCTATAACTATTTCTTGTATGGAAATTTCGTCTCTGTTTATGTATACGTCGCAATGATTTGAATCATATGTTTGCATGTGTAATTTCCATTTGGGATTGTGATTTAATGATTTTATAGCTTCTGTTGTGAACTGTTATTAAGAGAAAAGATAGATTAGATAGAGATATAAGCCATACTTATAAGTTATACATATTTTATTGATATTGAAACAAATAAAACATAATGACAAATATATGAATATTTGTGTAGCTATAAAAATTATAAATAACATTAAAAGAGCTATCTATCTTAAATATAAAATTCTCGTGTCGCGGTGTTAGACAGAGAACTCCTCTGAAACGGCTAGACCGATTTTGTTGAAATTTTGTGAGCATATTGAGTAACTCTGAGAATCGGCCAACATTTAGTTTTCATACCCCTAAGTCATAAGGATTATTCTTCCTAAATTTTTTTTTTCGGACGAAATTTTTTTATTTTTTTAATAATGTAGCATTAAAAAATACATACAACCCAAAATTTTTACTTTTTTATCACCAACCCCTATTTTTATATGGCAAAATAATGTTCGCCGGGTCAGCTAGTATATTATAATATTGTCTATTATCTAGATTTATAATTTGTCTGAGTTTTAATACTACTCACATTTCCTATTTTAATGAGATCCAACATAATATTCTGAGCCTGTAATGTTTGAGTTCTAAATGTATAGCAATTCTTTAATCTTTGTATGCACTCAATACAAAAATTCTGAGGCAGGTAGTCATCTTTGTATATCTGAAAAAAAATTGTTTATTTATATAAAATAACTTGAGAAATACTGAAAAATAGAAAATAAAAACACAAAAAGTAGTTATACATTTTATTACCATATTAACAATTTATGATACAAATTAATTTGTTTATACAAATTTAGTGAATACTTTGTAATGAGTAAAACATTAGATTTTTATATTTATAATATATATATATATTATTATCTACAAGTCTTTCAGAGTATTCAGTGATATTTTAACAGTTATGGAAATTTTTGAGTATATTATAGCCTTTAAACAAATATATATATATATGGTCTATTTGTATACATTAAAAGCTCCTTATTCGCGGGGTATATGTTCCGTAAATATACCGCGAATACAGAAACCGTGAATACGGAATGGTTATTTATATGGGATTATAGGGGATACGTTCCTAGGTGACAAAAAAAAACAACAAATTTATATAAAAAAATATTTAATTGAAGTATTTGATCATTATAATTAATTATCTTAAGGCTTAGGCAATGGTTTGAAGAATTTTGTAATTTTTTCTTTCTTGGCAGTTTTTAAAAGCTCCTTCAATTCAGACTGATACACAGCAGTCGCATTAGCAATTTGCCTCTTAAAAATAAGACTTCGTTCCATAAACGGATCAATGTTCATAAAGAAATCGCAAAGTAATTAGGTAAAGTTGTAATAAGATCTATATTACTTTTTAATTAGTCCATTTGACAAGGATATTGTGTTGGATACCTATTTGGAATAATTTTATTATTATGTATGTACTTATTAGATCCGCGAATAAAGAAATTTTTAGTCGCGAATATAGGAATTGGTAGCATTTTTTTAATCCGCGAATAGTGAAAACGCGAATAAAGGAAGCGCGAATAAGGAGCTTTTACTGTATAAGAATTTGAATAAGACTATGATTTTGTATTGGGTGTCGGGTCCATCGTTGTAGTGAGAGGAGCTTCAACAGTGACTGGTACTTGTGACCCAGGTGTAGGTTTAAGGGTCCCTATCTAACGTTAAACGATCACCTCCACCGTACAAGCTCCTCTCCCTACCTAACCAAATTTTAAAAGAATATATACTTAAGAAGTTGTGAAGTCGACTAATAATAAATATTAGTTCATTGTCTACTTACATTCATTCCTGTGAGTAATGTGAATGTCTGTTGAAGATCAGCATTTGGTATCGGGTAGACTCTCATATCAGTCCCCAAACATATACGACATACCTGCAATATAATTAGTAATATATGTATCTTCTTCTACCTGGCAATTTCCCAGCTTTAGCCAGGATCTGCCTTAAATGTTGTGAATAGTTTTGGCTAATTGTTTTTACGACCGGCCGCCTGCCTGACATCAACCCTCTTTTGGGAATCAACATTAATCAGTGATGTCTAAATAGTCTTAGAAAGTACATATGACCCGGAAAAATCACATTGGTACTTGCCCGGGCCAAGATCGAACCCGCGCCCTTGTGCATGAGAGTCGGGACTTTTAACCACTAGGCCACCACTGACTCAATTATATATGAGATGAAACCTCTCAGCATTCAATGCATTCACCATGCAGGTGCCGAGTCCATCGCTATTGTTAATAATATATAAAATATATTCTTATATAATTTATGAATTTTTTTGTACCATATTCTATGTACTATATGATATATATATATATAAAGAATGTCGTGTTAGTTACACTATTTATAACTCAAGAACGGCTGTACAGATATGGATGAAGATTGGTGGAGAGAGCTTAGTATGAGGAGACGGACATAGGATATTTAATTCAGTTCGATCGAAAAAAAATATTTAATATACTCCAATATCTGGTTTTTTACAGCCTCTAGGGCGGAATAGAGTTCACCCAGTCAGCTATACATATATTACTAATGAAGAAATTTACATGGACGAAGTCGTGGGCAAAAACTAGTATATAATATGATTGCGAACTTTTTTAACGTAATTAACTATCAAACTTAAAGTACCTGCGAAATACTACTGTTCAATGGTGCAGACACAGCTTTAGGTATGACTCCTGGTAGTAATTTCCTTTCGCCACCTTCCACTTCACAGATATCGTCATCTTTGAAATGTTCTGAACATACTAAACTACGAGGAGCCCACTGCGATAAGCCTAATACAGTCAACCAAGACGCTTTAAGCTTCGCATCATTTGGGAAACTAAAAAATAAACTATCTATGAAAATTTATACAAATAGTGCTTTAAGTGAATAGTAATTTATGTATTTAATACATATCTCTCATTTAAGTAGTTCACTTACAAGTAAAAAGTCGTTTCTTCAGATTTAATAGTGTTTTTGAAAGCATTTTTACAAAACGGTACACAGCAACGCATTTTGTCATTCGCGATATATTACTTTCATACAAACATACTTGAATTAAACACACATATTTTACATATAATTTTCTTTTACTATAGAGGCAAGTAACATATTTTTTATTATAAAAATTTCATTCTACACTTAACAATAAATTCAATGGGAGAAACAATAATAAATGTGAAGCTATCAAAATCTTATTACAACCACTCAATATATCCATCTCCCTCTCGCGCTTTGAAATTGATAGAGATAAGTATATTTCTTAATAGAATCAAATACCATTACAAATATGTCGGATAGCAATGGTTCGTATGACATGTAAACATATTTATATTTTTGTTCAACATCTCTTTCTAAGCACTATATATGATATATGAGTAAAAAGGAAAACACTATTTCCTAAGTTCATTTAAAATGTTTCTCAAGTATGGCACAGAGTACGTAATTATCATATTGTGAAAAATTGCAAATGGCATAAAAGCATTGTGAATGGTTTATATCAGCTATTTTTATAACAATTTAATAATTATTTTTATTAAAGGACATAAATTAGATTTTTATTTATATTGTTGCAATATACTTGGCGTCCTTGATAATTTTGGCAACCTTGAAGTATAGTATTGTCACTTTTGAAGGGTGTCAATCTGTTACAGAAATCATAAAAACTGTAGAAACAGTAAACAAAAATATAATCAATTAAATTTAAAACAAAAGAAACATTTAATACTCTAATAAATTTAATAATTTATTTAACTAGCGTAAGCAATATCGATTCATCAATGTAACTATATATTTATATATGTTTACGCGTTTAGATTTTTCATAATAAATTCTTTTAAAATGAAGTGTTGTGTTAAAAATTGTTTAAATGATAATCGGAAAGCAACAAAGAACGACGGTATCACCTTCCATCCGTGAGTTTCATTCATCATTTAATATTTCACGCCTGTTACAATCTCTACAATGTACTCTTCTAATATCGTCAATATAAGCAAATCCGAAACTTAAATCATACTTATTTGCAATATTTATCTTATTAGAATTATATGTTATTCGAGTAATAATATAATTGAAAAAGATTATATGAAATTTTATATTTAAATGGCTATAGCTCAAGAACTGATATTAAACATGATACAAATTATATAAAGAGTCGAATTTTGATCCAAAAATTATGGTAGTGACGTGAGAAAAGACGGGGATAAAACCTAGTGTATAAAAATCATTGTAATATTAAATATGTTGTCCGTGTTCTGTTCTAATAAATTAAAATCTGTAAAAGAAAGAGTCACATGCAATGCATAATTTTTAAATATATATATTTAAGTGCATTTAGTTTATTAGTTTATACATTTTTTTTCATACTTATCTTATTTTTAAAATATTTTTATTTCAATATCCAAGTTAATATTATGAATATCTTAAGTATGTAAGGAGAATTATATGTATAACTTGCAAGTAAAAAAATTTGTCATACATTTTAGGACATATAGATGGTAAAACAAAATCTTTATTCCAGATTCCCTAAAGAGGAAATTCTCAACAGCGCATGGATAGATGCTCTCGGTATGACAGAATGGGAAACAAAAGATCCAAGGTATGTACTAACTTTATATATATGTAAATTTAATTATTAATAGTAATGAGTTAAGTTATATAATAAGTTTCTATTTCTTATATAAATTATCTGCCAATGAAAGTTCAATCAAAATCAGTTCAGCGGCTTCAAAGATTAGATTAGGTTGAGTCAGTGGTGGCCTAGTGGTTAAAGGCCCGCCTCTTGTTGCCAAGGGCGTGGGTTCGATCCTGGCAAGTACCAACGTGATTTTACTGAGTCATATGTACTTTATAAGAGTATTTAGACATCACTGAGTGATGAAGGAAAACATCGTGAAGAAACCTGGACTTATAATATCACAATTTTAAGTTTGAAATCACCAACCCCTCTTGAGCAAGCGTGGTGATTAATGCTCAAACCTTCTCCATAAGAGAAAGAGGCCTTTGCTCAGCAGTGGACTCTGATAGGCTGATGATGATGACATACTGGTTATACATTATTACAACAATTTTTTCAATACATTTAAAGAATTTTTGAAATATTGTAAGCAAGTTTAGTTTTCTTCCATTTTGGAAACCATTATATTTACTTTTAATCCATTATTAAGAGGATAAAAATACAATTTTTTCCATGATATTATAACCTGAATTCTGTATTTTTTCTTACAGCATGATATGTTCTGAACATTTTACTGAAGATTCATTTTACATCACAAAATCTGGTGTAAAGAAAATCAAAGCCGAAGCAGTGCCTTCACTAATACTTGTAAGTATTTAATTAAAATATTCTTAATTAAAATTCATTAAACTTATTGAATATATACAAGCTGTATAAAACGAATCTATGGAAGTTTCATGAAAAATACAAATTGGAGCCAACGAAACAAGATTATTTTTGTAAATATACTATTATATGTATAATTATGGAATTAAATATCATTAATTTAGTAATCAATTTACTTTATAGATAACATCCGATGAATTAGACTCGGCAGCAGATAATAGGGTAAGTTTAATAGAAAATTTATTTTGTTATTAAATATAATTGCCATTATAAATATTATAAATTACTAATGGTAACACTAAGTATATATGTTTCATAATATATAACATTTTTGCGTGTACACATTTAAAAGCAACTAGTTTATTGGGAACTACACGTTTTTTAAACATTGTCTGTTTACATAATCCCGAGGTTTCTTTTCTTTTACAGTGACCGTGATCCTGAAGACTAGATGAAAATGTCTGATATATATATATATATATATATATATATATATATATATATATATATATATCAGACATATATATATATATATATATATATATATATATATATATATATATATATATATATATATATATCAGACATATATATATATATATAATAGTGAAAAACACAATAATTTTATGTAATAATCCTAACTATTGATAATATTTTTGTACGTAATACCAGCTTTCCGCCCGCGTGGAGTTCGGTCATATCGCGGTTCCAAGAGAACCTTTCAAAAGTCTGGGATAAAAACTATCCTATGTTCTTTCTCAAAGTTAACTCTATCTCTGTACCAAATTTCATTAAAATCAGTTCAGTGGTTTAGGCGTGAAAGCGTAACAGACAGACAGAGTTACTTTCGCATTTATAATATTAGTAGGGATGACTAACTGACAGATACTTTCATATCTTCGTGATCACGGTCGCTTTAAAGCAACCGATACGTCATGTTCATGTAGATATAAAATAATAAAAAATCTTAGTATCGAAATAAGTAATATAAATTAAATATCTGTCTACCCTCAAAATATATTCAACTGTCATTACTTCTTACTCCAGGTATGCAGAATATGTCTATCAATAGATGTCAAAATGTTTGACATAACAGAAGGTGGGGTCAGTACTATGATTGAGAGGATCACGAGCATACATGTAAGTATCTTCTACCTGGCAATTGCCCAGCTATAGCCAGGGTCTGCCTTACATGTTGTGAATAGTTATGGCTAATTGTTTTTACGACCGGCCGCCCGATATCAACCCTCTTTGGGAATGCATCAATCAGTTATGTCTAAATACTCTTACTCGTTTATATTATAATATTGGATAGAAATAATCAATTAATTATGGTTGAAATTGATTTTATAGAGTGCCTAGGATATATAATAATACCTACATATATATATTTAATCCTTTACTATTATTACATATATATTGTATGTATCAACAAGGTGAACATAATTTTTGAGGTTCATAAAAAATTACATTGGTTCCGTACATACGTTTACTTAAGTGACGTCATTATTATGACGTCATAACAAATCCACTATTACAGATACAACACTATAACTTAATTCATTAGTTATAATAAATTTTAAATGAAAAAAAAAATTCTGATCATATTGCAAGTATTGATCATTATTCAGTAATGATAAATATTAGTTTCTTTTAAATGATATTATATATTACATTTTGTTATTTGTAGCTCAGTCCACACGATAGGTTACCTAATCGTATATGCTGGGAGTGTATCGCTCGGTTGAAGAACGCGGACAGCTTCAGGGATAAAGCTATCAGATGTAATGAATTACTCAACAAACTGGATTTGGATAGAACTGTGAGTATTATTGACATATAAGGACTAGGTACCCGCCCTGACTTCGCACGGGCTCTTTACAAAGAACGTAAAATGGCTTACGTTGCGTTAATAAGGACTATATGTAAGTATATGTAGCATATTATAATGTATATAATAAAGTTATTTTTTTGTTAATTTCTTCTCATAAGAACACTTTCCTGAGATTAACACAAAAAAACTTAATTAACTAAAGCCTAGTTATAGTCAAGTTACTACAGCTCGTACATGTTCTGTCTCGACCGTAAGTACCACCCTCTCACAGAAGATCGGCGTCAAGTAGTCTTTAATGGATGCGTTTTGTCCGATGAGTGAGAGAGACGGTTTTTCTATCTCTTTATGTGTCAGATGGCCTTGAGCGACGCTACCTTCCATAAAATAAGCCGTCTGCATGTTTGACCCTTTAACATATAGAAACAAGTCCTAATCATATACAGGGTGACTGGTGAATTACTATCGATACTTGGGGACGTGATATTTGACGATCATATATGACAAAATAAAAATTAATATAACATAAATATTAATAAACTTCTAAGTAAAGTTAACCAAAAGTTGTGTAATTAATTACGCATCGTGTGAACACCCTACAAATTAGGTATACACACACACTCACACATACGCGCGCGGCGGCGTAGTGTTGTATCAGCACGCCGCCGCACGCGTCCACACTTGGAACACTTGGAACGTGTCAACACTTTATTTATTTATACGGAAATTTTGTCAAAAATTAAGTGCCTATTTTTTTTACATAATTCGAATGAGAATCATGTACCGAGTATTCTCCTTAAATATTGATAGTAATTCACCAGTCACCCTGTATATACACCTAGATATTTTTCTGCTATAGAAATTTTTACTGATCAATGGCCCAATACACGAACATAACTAAAAATAGAATTGAAATGTAGATTCGAAATTATCAAGTAATTTTTTTAGACTCTTTAAATGGTAATAAAACATGACCATGAATAAATTTAATGAACTTTTATGGAAAACAAGATAAACATAATATGTACTATATTTTTTTATTTATAATAATATTCGTGCAAAACTGCGACTGAAACCTAGTTAACGTTTTAATAAAATTAATTTCTATCCAACAGATAACAATAAGAGATGTAAAATCAATTAACAGGACATACAAGAAATTGAAAACTACCCTCATACAGAAAATATATGACACAAACGAATACGATTATGAAATTAATGATGACGTTAAAACAGAGAATAATGATACGGATTTTAATGATTATAATGATAATGATAATGACATTAATGATATTAATGATATCAAGAACGAACCGGAAATAAAAGATGAGAGCAACAATGAGATATTCTTCGAGGAATATCCGGTTTTAAATGACAGTGATGAAATAACATTAAGCGAGGTCTGTAAGAAGAAGAAAGTTAGGAAGAAGAAAGTTAAAATTGAGAAGAGAAAAGAAGTTAAGATTCAGAAGAATGATGAAAACGACAGCCCGTCTATTACTATGGATAAGTAAGTAAATACTATCTTCTCTTCTACCTGGCAATTTCCCAGCTTTAGCCAGGGTCTGCCTTACATGTTGTGAATAGTTTATGGCTATTTGTTTTTACGACCGGCCGCATGCCTGACATCAAACCTAAATACTATATATGTATGTAAGTATTTTATTACTAAATCGTAATTTCTATAATTCTATAGAAAACAAGTCTTCTTTCATAAATATTATCCTACAATATACAATATTAATATAAATCATGAGTAAGTCAAATAATATTAAAGAATTTAGTACATATAAAAACCCTATATTTTTTCGTGTATAATATTCAATTTTATTATTTTATCATATAAATTATAGTTATAAAAATTACTATTATATATTACTAGCTTTCCGCCCGCAGCTTCGCCCGCGTGGAGTTTGGTTATATCGCGTTTCCAAGAGAACCTTTCAAAAGTCTGGGATAAAAACTATCCTATGTTCTTTCTCAAGGTCAACTCTATATCTACCAAATTTCATTAAAATCAGTTCAGTGGTTTAGGCGTGAAAGCGTAACAGACTGACAGGCAGAGTTATATTCGCATTTATATTATTAGTAGGGATATAACAATTAAGTTATTTTACACCTTCCCAGGTACAAAAAATCCGATGTCAAACGTCGCAAAACCGATAATCTGGACGAATCTTTATTCACAATAACGACCCTGACTTACGACGAACAGATAGCTGAGATTGAGAAGCGTCAAGAATCGGCTTCATACAGACACTCGCCTTATAAATGTGTGACGTGTTACAGAGGATTCCTTATTAGGGACAGATATGAAGCACATGTTGTGAGGCACAGCGAGGTTGGTATGAACGGAATAACTATTCGGTTAAACGGAATAACTATTCGGTTAAACGTAATAACTATTCGGTTAAACGGAATAACTATTCGGTTAACGATAATAACTATTCGGTTAACAGTAATAACTATTCGGTTAACAGTAATAACTGTTCGGTTAACCGTAATAATTATTCGGTGAACCGTGTTAAATATATGGTTAGTTTTAATAACCATAAAATCAGAGCTAATGAAATCCTTTTTAGTTAATCCCCCTTTATTTTTTCCTACAACAAAACAAAGTATGTAATAATAATTTTGAAGAGATTTAAAGATATACTTTATATTGCTAAAAAAGAGCAAGAAACTAACTTTAATGCTTAAAATTAAAATTATATGATAATACAGATCTTAATGTATGAGATTGGTTATTATTTTTGGTAAAACAGGAAGTTTCTAGAACTTACATTATTAAATGATGTTTTAAGTGTATTAGACAATATTATCTATACTTGGAGGACATATAACTGTAGGTTTTCTTCTGAGTTTTTTGTCGCACAGTATTTTTTAAAATTTAGCTTTAACTAGATTTTTATTAAGTGCAATAAATATAATTCATATTGGCTAAGTGATTTTTAAGTCACCGACGTACATATATTTGGTTATACATATATAGAGAGGAGCTTGTACGGTGGAGGTGATCGTTTAACGTTAGATAGGGTCCCTTAAACCTCCACCTGGGTCACAAGTACCAGTCACTGTTGAAGCTCCTCTCACTACAACGATGGACCCGACACACGCATATGAATATATGGAATGATGAGAGGATTCGACTCTGTTCTAGCAAAGTGGTGCCTACGAGTGTTTTATTTGTAAGACGCGCCTAAAAACTGCGAGAGCCCTAAGAAAACATCTAACTGCGCAACACACGGAGAAGTTTAACTGCAAGGGATGTCCGTTTGTTACAAGAAATAGGTATGAAATGAAATATATTATATTTGCTATATGTACTTTTATTTATATATTTTGATGTATAGTGTATGTATTTCTCATCCAGGGGTGTAGCTCGCGAACACGAGAAATGGCACGCTGGCACCAAGTACCAATGTCCTCACTGTCCAAGCGAGTTTGAGTGAGTACTGAGTAATAACCATAATTATATTATATTATTAATGAATGAATTATATCCTACTAATATTATAATTGCGAAAGTTTGTGAGTGTGTGTGTATGTTTGTTACTTCTTCACGCTCAAACGGCTGAACCGATTTTGATAAAATTTTGTATACAGGAAGCTGACGTCCAGGAATAACACATAGGCTACTTTACATCCCGGAAATCCTGGAAATCCGCGGAGCTCAGCTAGTTTAACATAAATTCCCCAAAAAAGACAAATATAACCAAAAAATTTGCTGGTCACAAAAACTTAAACTTAAATTACAGAATGCTTAATTCACAAGCTTAGACACGATAGCTCATTTGGCGAAGATACTGAACAACATATTCTCGAAATCACTGGTTCGATTCCAGCTTGCGTTAATTTTCATTCCATATTTTCATATCGAAATACCTTACTCATAGTATTTACTTATAAACTTATTGTTTTTATATTAAAATGATGTTTTTCTTGTATATTCCAGTAAACTAACCACCTACATGGGCCATATTCGTATAAAGCACGTGTCTGACTTCGTGTGTGAGTTGTGTGGGTACACGTTCGTTAGTAAGAAGGGGGTAGACGTGCATAAGAAGAAGAAACATAGAGTTGTTGATAAAAATGTAAGTAGATACATTGTTTATTGTTTTTATATAGATTTTAGTATTTTTAGGTCTAAAATTTACGCGAGTCTTATTCATTTAAATGAAACTAATATTTTCGTGTATACTACGTGACTGTATCTTTTGCAAAAAACTACAGAGGTTTGAGCCACTTTACAGAAACAACAAAATAAATTCGCGTAATATTAATGTTATTTAAATCTTCCTTGCCGTGTCATAATTTTCTATAAACTCTATGGACTCGGCTAGTTAAAGAAAACAAACATTGTTGACTTGTAATTATTTGTGTAAAAATAATGGTAAATATCTAGAAAGGAAATATAAGACCTAGATATTCTTACTAATAATAGCTGTTGTGTATCTTCTTCTTCCTGGCAATTTCCCAGCTTTAGCCAGGGTCTGCCAGCTATTGTGTATCTACCTTCATATATTGCAGATGGAACTGTCGGGTCCTTTCTGTGAGGTGTGTGACGTACGATTTCTTTCTGAAGAGGCTCACTCCAGACATCTGAAGCTATCATCGAAACACAGCAGCGATAATGACCCGTAAGATATATATATACTAATATTATAAATGCGAAAGTAACTCTGTCTGTCTGTTACGCTTTCACGCCTAAACAACTGAACTGATTTTAATGAAATTTGGTACAGACATAGAGTTGACCTTGAGTAAGAACATAGGATAGTTTTTATACCAGACTTTTGAAAGGTTCTCTTGGAAACGCGATATAACCGAACTCGATGCGGGCGAAGCTGCGGGCGGAAAGCTAGTATTATATATATAATAATTGAAATTTCCTTGAGGTTATCATACAAATAATTTATTATCCCTTTATTTCTGTTCACTCTAAACGCTTATCTAAAACGATAGTAATTCTCATGATAAAGCTTTTCTCTCACAATTAATTAGTAAGATAAATTGTAGTTTACTTATATTGTATTAACTTCAAGTGTCATATATTAAAAAATAGTTTTAAATATTATATTTATTCATAAACAATATTAGTTCGTACCTGCGATGTAGCAGATATCTTCTTTAAATGATTGTCTCTACTAATTTATCGCATCGTTATGTTTCCAGTAACCGTATTCGGAATGACTCTCAAAGTATGAGCACTGAAAGGGGTCTCGCTAGAAGGAGGGATGTACGAGAAACGGGAGACGCTTCACCTGTAACGTGCGAACAGGTATATATACATACAAACATGCACACACACATACATATATACATAACTTACAGAACATACTTCAAAGGCAGCCCTAGTAGGTTCGTTTCAAATTTGGTAGAGAGAGCAGCTTGTTCAGTGTAGGTGATCGTTTAACGTTAGATAGGGTCCCTTAAACCTACACCTGGGTCACAAGTCACAGTCACTGTTGAAGCTCCTCTCACTACAACGATGGACCCGACACACGCACCGTGAATACATACACACACACAAATACATACAAGAATATATGTCTATACATACATTCTTATGGGTACATTAATTTTAAACCCTAATTAACCTTCTACTTCAAATATAGTATTAACAATAGTAGTAGTAGTAACAATACTATATATTATATTCCAGTGCGGTCTTCAATTACGTGATCTCCGTCTATACGCGCAACACTTCCGTCGCTCACACCCGGATAAGAACCGAACTAAATACCCGGCTATGAAGACGCCCGCCATGTGTGAACACTGCGGCCGGATATTCCAGGTTAATATCTCATTATATCCTACTAATATTATAATTGCGAAAGTTTGTGAGTGTGTATGTTTGTCACTTCTTCACGCTCAAACTGCTGAAGCGATTTTGATAAAATTTTGTATATAGGAAGCTGATGTCCAGGAATAACACATAGGCGATTTTACATCCCAGAAATCCGCGGTTAACACTGCGGGGCGCAGCTAGTATTTTTATATGATGAAAGGGGCAAAACGAGCAAATTTTCTACTTGATGGACCATTCCTACAAATTCCTTATTCCAACCCCTCCCTATTCCTAAAAACAAGTTTGGCAACTCATCCTAATTCCTGTATCACATATGTATTAGTGACTTACAAAATAGCAAATACAAATACACAAATGAAACTAATATTTTCTGATTTATGACGCCTTTATAATTATTTTTAATTATCTCGACGTTTCGGTTACTTTCACGAACACGAGATGATAATTTTAGACACTAACCGAAGTAAGTAACCGAAAATACTAGTTTCATTTCAATGAATACTCGCGAAAATCTCTCCATCATTATATTCCTACTAATATTATAAATGCGAAAGTAACTCTGTCTGTCTGTCTGTTATGCTTTCACGCTTAAACCACTGAACTGATTTTAATGAAATTTGGTACAGACATAGAGTTGACCTTGAGAAAGAACATAAGATAGTTTTTATCCCAGACTTTTGAAAGGTTCTCTTGTAAACGCGATATAACCGAACTCCACGCGGGTGAAGCTGCGGGCGGAAATCTATTAAGAAATAAGAATATATATCTCTCTATTTTCATCATATTAGAAAAGTTTATAAAACAAATTATATAAAACATTGTAATATAATTTTGGGGGAAACCCGGGGATCATAGTTATTAATAAAATGTTTAGGTAATATCGTTTGAAATAACTTTGAAGGATTCAGTATGAGATTAGAGAAATCTTCAGAGAATTAAAATATGCCCTAAAGATTTTTGTTATTAAATCTTTTTATACCTTAATATTTCAGAGTATGGCGTTATTAAAAGACCATATGTGGGTCCATACTGGAGAGAAGAGGTTCAAGTGTGACAGATGTGACAAGAGCTTCACGCAGAAGACGAACTTGGTGTTTCATATGAGGGTACACTCCGCTACTAGACCTACCTACGAATGTCCGCTGTGTGGGAAACACTTCGCGTTCTTCAATAATAGGAGGCGGCATATGTTTGTATGTATATACTAGCTGACCCGACAAACGTTGTTTTGCAATATAAAACAAATAGGGGTTGGTGATAAAAAAGTAAAAATTTTTGGTTGTATGTATTTTTTAATGCTATATTATAAAAACAAAAAATATCGTCCGAAAATTTAAAAAAAATTAGGGTGAACATCCCTTATGACTTAGAGGTATGATAAATAGATGTTGGCCGATTGGACCTATTCAATATACTCACAAATTCTTCACAATTTCATCGAAATTGGTCGAGCCGTTTCGGAGAAGTTCTCTGTCCAACACCGCGACATGAGAATTTTATATATAATATATATTCGGGGGTTTAATTAGACAATTAAATTTTATTACACTATGTTTGTATGTCCATTATTTATATTTTATTTATCTTATTTTAATTTTGTATAAGCATCCTATTGCTTTTTTCTTTCTTTAATATTAATTAAGAATTACTCATTTTCAACACTTCCTATGTATATGAAAAACTTAATTTGTTCTCAAATTCGAAAATCTAGATGATACTTCAACTAAACCTTGAAATATTTCAAACATTCAACTCATATGACAATTCCCAATAATTTTCTCTTATACTTAATTCACAATACATTTATAATCTTTTTTATACTATCAATTCTATTATAAAGATTTACTATATAATCAAACAAGTAATATTCTGACCTATTATATACAGATTCACACCGGCCTGAAGCCGTTCAAGTGTGACACATGTGGTAAGAGTTTCACTACAGCCGGTGAGCAGCGAGCACATACAGATCATGTACACCTCAAGAAACCCTGGCCGAAGAGGGCTAGGAGCGGACAGTGGAAGTGTGTTGAGGATTAGGGTATGTGTAATGATAGGGTGGACAGACACACACAAACACACACACACACACACACACACACGCACACACACAGACAGATAAGCACGCACAAACGCACACACATGCACTCAAACACGTCCACACAAACACGCAAGCATTCACGCACAGACACATTCACACACACACACACACACACATACACACACACTCAGACATGCAGATACTGTGTATATATAGTAGTCATAAAAGTGTATATCACGATTGTTAGTCCAATCGATTGTGGCTAGTGAAAAAATATAAACGAACTAGCTGCGCCCCGCGTTGTTATCCGCGAATTGACGGAATTTCCAGGATGTAAAGTACCCTATGTGTTATTCCTGGACGTCAGCTTCCTGTATACAAAATTTTATCAAAATCGATTCAGCCGTTTGAGCGTGAAGAAGTAACAAACATACACACACTCACAAACTTTCGCAATTACAATATTAGTAGGATAGATCAGACTGGCATTTTAATTATCAACAACTGCCACACCGTCTTGTATCATTTTTCTATCGCTGTTCCGTCACGTTATTTATGCTCTATTATACAAAGTATAGTGTTTTGTTTTAGACACACAGCATTACTCTGCGCTGCGACATTTTTCTAAAAGCATGGTCTTAAAAGGTCTAGATTTCTGGGCATTGGTTTCCAAAAAAAAATATCCAAATTTTAAAAAATGTGTTGAACAACTTCAATCGTGTTTTGGTTCAATATATTTATGTAAATCAGCATTTTCCTAGTTAAAACAAACCAAAACTATTCACCGTTCTCGCTTGACCTTGTGTATATGTACATATGTATATAAATAAATACAGTATGTAGTTTGTAGTAATTATGTACTATATAAATTAACATATTATTTATTTAATGTCATATTAGTCTCATTATGTTATTCAATACATAAAATATAGTCATGTTTAATTATTAACACATATATAAGTATGTATACATTTAATATTTTATATCAATATATAAATTAATTTTATAAGATATATGTTATATATTTCAGATTAATGAGTGCCGAGTCCTTATAAGAGGTTTCAAGATGAGTATGATTGAAAGCAACAACTGCCATATGTTAAGGATATATTGTGTGAAGAAATAGAATTATGTGGTTCCTTCTGTAAAGAGTATATAATTGCATATAAGTATACAGGGTGACTGGTGAATTACTATCGATACTTGAGGACGTGATATTTGACGATCATATATGACAAAATAAAAATTAATATAACATAAATATTAATAAACTTCTGAGTAAAGTTAACCAAAAGTTATGTAATTAATTACGCATCCTGTGAACACTCTACAGATTAGGTATACACACACACTCACTTACACACGGCGGCGGCGTGGTGTTGTATCAGCACGCCGCCGCACGCGTCCACACTAGGAACACTTGGAACGTGTTCACACTTTATTTATTTATACGGAAATTTGGTCAAAAATTAAGTACCTATTTTTTTTACATAATTCGAATGAGAATCATGTACCGAGTATTCTCCTTAAATATTGATAGTAATTCACCAGTCATCCTGTATATATGTATGTATGTATGTGCAATTCTTTCATTCAAAATCTTAAATAGGTATTCTGGACTTCCCAAGTTGAAGATAGAATTTATATTTTTTAATATATATAATAATCATTGGAATATTAATAAAAATTATAGAACAAGAAAATCCTTCCTAATGAATAACTGGCAAGATTTTTCATATATTTCAAATTATTGATTGAAACTTGTTACAACTTTGATTGAGAATTAACAATCATTCTAAAGCTTACTTTTACATTTTAGTTAATTACAAAATTATAGTACAATTTTAAGTTTAGTACAAATCTGGTAAAAAAATTGTTTGGTATACAAAATTTATTAAAATGAAAATCAAACTTTTCTATCGAACAAAATATGCTAACTCTAGTGGCCATTCTTTCTAGAACTTTCTACAAATATCTTGGTTTATATAAATATTATTATGTCAATAATAGGATTTATATATTAAAAACTGATATATACATAATATTTATATTAAAATTAAATCGAAACAATATGAAGTCTCTGAATACCAAGATGTGAATTCTTAGAAATAAAATGATCTCAATTATGTATTATTATTAATAAGATTATATATTTTTAAATGTTTTACAATTATCATTTTGTATATTTTTGCTGTATATACGGCTTGAGCAATTATTTTTATTATTTATTTTTAATAAAACCTTTTTTTAGTATGCTTATAATAGTTGGTTATTTTAATTAACACCCACTAGAATTACAATTAAGCGAAACAAAAGACTTGTCAGACCCTGGATAAAGCTGGGAGGTTGCCAGGAAGAAGAAAAGACTATCATTTTCAAAAACATTACTTAAAAGACAATAACTTAATTTATTTATGAAATAATAGTAAGTAAATACACATGTTCATTTACGATTTTCTGGAGTTTCATAAACCTTTATTTTATCATCATATTTGTTAATTTTCTATCATAAATAATATTTGCAATCAATTAAAAACTGAGTTTATTAAACATCTTATTAAAAAAAAATTTGAGAAATTACATTTGACTTAAACACCAAAATCACTTTTTGAAAGTGCTTTCCTTATTAAAACTTTCTATTGTACATACGGTAATTAATATATAGATATTACAATTCCTATCAAACAAGAAAGTACAATTTTTAACATATTGTCATAAATTCGTAGTAAGTATTGTATCTTAAAATGTTTAGCAATAAATAGATACTTTAAATATACATTTTAATATGAGGAAGAACGAAAGTCATCGACATAGCTACACGGATTATCTGTTTGAAGTGGCAATGGGCAGGCCATATAGCCAGGCGAACAGTGGCTGTTGGGGCCGAAATGTTCTCGAGTGGAGACCACAGCTCGGAAAGCGCAGCGTTGGACGTCCATTAACGAGATGGAGGGACGACCTAGTCATAGATAATACACTATATTAGTAATTAGAAATCTATATTAGATAATACACTATATTGGACCTAGTCAAGGCCGCAGGTTCACGGTGTATGCAGGCCGCTACAGACCGAAGCGCTTGTAAGTCGATGAGGAAGGCCTATGTTCAGCAGTGGACCTCACATGGCTGAAGAGATGATGATGATACATTTTATCTTTTATATTAATAATTTCAATCTCAGAATTTTAATTTAAAAATAAGACAATATTTTCCCTCCATTTTCTAAAACATAGATAACGACTACGTAGTGTGGAAATAATATAAAATTTTATAATTTATCAAACTCAATATTTTTCAAAAGTAGTTAATTACTAAAGTATAAGGAACGTATTTTATTTGCTTACATATAAAAATAATTAAAATTAATCAAAATATATTTATTTAATAATTTTGATGCACAGTCGTAATATTTTGTGATATAAAATTAAAAAAAATATTGAAACATTTTTGGCGGGATATTCGAGTTTCGACAATACTTAACTCTTAAGGTAAACAAGACGGGAGTGAGTACACTTGCATATTGAATGTTGTAGCTTTCTCTAAAGATATATTCTTTATTAATAAAACTATAGTTATTGAACATTTCTTGGTAAATTAACTGTTTTAATAATAATTCTAAAATGAGTCGTTTGAAATTAAGAAACAAGCCTCGTGTAAACTACTATGAACCAGAGGAGCCCAATTTGGACGAGTATATATGTGAGTATTTTAAATTTAACAAAGTATTTAAAGCATTTTAAGTACGAATATATTATAATAATTATTATAATGCTATTTTAACCGTAATTTTATTTTATTTTCTAAATAGTTTGTGCTGAGTGTCGTGATTTTGTTTATGAATTCTGTTCCATACATGGCCCACTGCTTGTGATACCTGATAATAAGGTGAGTTATAATATATACATATCATTAGGGATAGAACAAATCCTCGTAACTAGCATTGGATAATTCTGTATATGTAGATTAGAAGCAGATTATAATAAGAAAGTTTGAGCTGAAATATTTTCAATATAAACGACGCTTAAGGTAATTTTTTCACAATTAGTAATTATTTAGTGTTTAATTTATTAATAATTATGAAAAAGCTATCTTAAAAGTAGTTAATATAGAATATATTTCAGCTCAAACTTTCTTCTCATGATCTGCTTCCATTGTATATATGTTGAATTGTCCAATGATAGTTACTCAGGATTGTATCATCCCCGACTATATAGTTCTTGCTATATCATTATATAACAATACAATTATCAACCCAAGCCTCCGACCAAATCCCCATTCCCTCCTTGTGTTCCCCGAGCCGCACTCACCATTCCAAATGTGTTTCTACATATAGCACCTTCTAGAATACCAGGTAATTATTAATATAACATACATATAATATATGTTTTATGAAAATTATCATTTAATTCAAATTAACTCATATTGTTCTTGATTATATTAAAAACATGTTATTTGTATATATAATGAATTTTTCTAAAAATAATTTATTACTTTTATTTCTTCCTAATTATACATATAATATAATATTAAAGCTTTTTTGAAAATTTTCAATACTCTATTATACAAATAGGAGCAGGTTTAGGTGTATTTTCTACTCTCACTCTACCAAGTGGAGTCCGTTTTGGACCATATGTAGGGAAAAAGACAGAAGAAATTACTTCAATGTACTGTTGGCAGGTGGGTATAATTTGTTTAAAATAAATTAATTAAGATATACATTAATATATATATTGTATAGTTTTTGGCTAATTTTTCTTAACAGTTAATCTGATTAAATTAATAAATATTAAGGATTATTATATTTAAAAAATCAAATGGAAATATCTTTTTATAAATAGCCAATTAAAGGCTGAAATTACAAATATTGAGTAATAAATGAATGAAAAATATAAATATATGATAACAAAAATATTTAAGTCTTATTGACCTCAGATAAAAAAATAATCTTCTATCTATATCTATAAAAATGGATTGCTGTTCCTTAGTCTCGCTAAAACTG